GGCGTGGATACTATAGCAGGTAGGGCATTTGCTTTGCACACAGCTGATCCGGGTTCAACCCCCGGCACCCCATACGGTTCATTGAGCATGACAGAAGTGATCCCTTAACAGAGCCAGTGGTAAGCTCTGAGTACTACTGCGTTCTCAGAAGTTCTGTGGTCAAAGTAGGATAAGAGACAGTAATTAGGTACAGAATATTTGCGCTCTCCCAAAAACAATTTTTTTTTTACAGTACCAAGAATTGAGCTGAGGGCTTCATACATGCAAGACATGAGTTCTACTGCTGAGTCAACTCCTCAGCCTGCTTATTTTTAAAATGTACACATGTATGGGGCTGGAGAGAGCTCAACAGATTGAAGCATATGCTTTTGCACTCAGGAGGCCTAAGTTCAGTCTCCCCTCCTCTCAACACAGTCCCCTGAGCTCTGCCAGGTGACCTCTGAGCACTATGCCAATAGTAGCCACTTCAAGTGATAGAGTTGTGGAAGTTGGAAGTGAAGAAACAAATATAAAATGTCAACTCAAAAAGCCAGAGAGCAGATGTGAGGGTGATCTGGTTGTGACATGTTATCCCACTGATAGCTAGGGTTGATTTGGCTGATCTGGCTGGCTAGGAGGGTGTTGCCTCCTCCCCCACCACTCATATGTGTCGCTCCCAAAACTGTGGGCTTGGCTGAAGAGGATGGCCTTCTCCGGACATTCTTCGGTCAAGGGTAAACAAATAGCTGTGCTCCCCTTCTAGAACCTCCAAATAAGTTCTCAAAAAGTTTGAAAAGATTGTAGAACAACTCTAAATAGTCTTGAAGTTTATATAAACAAAGGTGACAATGGCTGAAGGGGACACAGGCAGGATTCCAACCCAAGTCATCTGACTTACTCTGAGCAGACACTCAAGGGCTCTAATATACCATATTAAGTCGGCTCTCCTTGAGTATCTCTAAGCTTTGGTTGAATATCATGCTCAAGAAATTTATTTAAACATAAGTCATCACCATAACACCATAACATTAACCGTAAGACCATTTTCCTCACCAACTGCTATTTTCTGTGGTGAGATTTTTTTTTCCCTTTGGTACAACCAGAAAAAGTAGGGTGTGTGTTGTGAAATTTGTTTTGGGGGCCATACCTGGTGAGAATTAGGTGTTACTCCTGGCTTTGCACTCAGGAATTACTCCTGGCAATGTTCAGGGGACCATGAGATGCCAGAGATCAAATCCAGGCTGGCCACCTGCAGGGCAAACACCTTATCCACTGTACTATTGCTCTGCCCCTGAAATTTTTTTTTTTTCCTTTTCTTTCTTGAGTTCCTGAAGCAGTGTTAAGGAGGCCAGAGGCCCCTCCTAGTGATTCATGATCACCAGCACTGAACTGGAGATGTTTAGGGGACCATGAGATGCTGGGGATCAAAGTAGGATTAGTCACAAGCAAGGTATGCACCCCTGTATTATCTCTCTGGTCCTGTGATGTTTAACAGTTTTACAGAAGTTTGTGAAAAGTTTGAGAATCACTCCACAGAATTGCGAAAAAGTAAACACAGTACAGTGTCTCAGGTAAATATTTCTCAGTAAGTACCATCCTGAGGGAAACAGAAAAGCAATTTTTCAGGGGCCAGATCGATAGTACAGCAGCTGACCTGTGTTCAATTCCTGGCATCCCAAATGATCCCCCAAGCACTGCCAGGAGTGATTCCTGAGCTCAGAGCCAGGAGTCACCTGTGAGCATCACTGAGTGTAGCCCAAAATTTATTTAGGAATAAACACTTTTTCAAGAAGAGAAAAACAATTTTTCTTACAAAAGAATATCAGATTGGCAGGGAAAATCCAGTAAGGTGAGTGAGATACTTGTTCAATTAATTCCCATACGATCCCTTGCGCATCAACAGGAGTGATCCTCACTTGTTCAATTAATCCATATATGGCCCCCTGAGCACGACCAAGAGTGATCCCTGAGCACAGAGCAAGGACTAAGTTCTTCTGAGCATGGCCATGTATCTACCCCATCCCAAATAAAGAGCACATCAGATAATCTAATATACTTTATAGAAGGAAACAGCACGGCAAATTCAGAGTGCAGAATTTTAAGAGAAAAAAGGACAACAGAGTGAAAAGAAAAAGATATCATAATTTATATAAGTATGTCAGCTCTACCAGTACTAATATTAGAAAACAACTGGGGTGGGACAATAGAGTAAAGGGCTTGAAGGGCAAGTTTTGCATGCAGAGCCCTGGGTGCAATCCACAGCACTACATGGTCCCCTGCAACAGCTCCTGGGAAGCAAGTCCCAAACACGAAGCTGCAAGTGGCCCAAGTACTGTTGGGGTGGCCCACAGACAGGAAGGGAAGCGGGGAAAAGGAAAAAGGGGAGAAGCAAGCGAGGGTCCTTGAGCTAAATTCACCCTCAGGATTGATATAAATAGAATTTTACTGGAACCCTGCTATGCCCCTTCAGTTATTGCCAGTATATACTTTCATATCACCAAGGCAACGTGAAATACCCCTGAAAGAGACCACCCAGAGTCAAAAAAGTAACAATCTGTTATCTCACAAGAAAAAGTCTGCCATTTATTTTATAGCACTTAAAACTATATACAATTGTTTACTCAACTGTAGTCTAACTCCCTGATCAGAATACAGACTTCACGAGGACAAACATCTTACTCCACTCTATATCTAGCACACTGCAGTGCACTGCACAGAATTCAATAAGCCACAGACATAGCTTATGTTAGAGACCTGCCTTGCATGTGAGGCCTGGATGATAGAAAGCATGCAACAAAGAAGTAATGAACAGCAATAGTTTTAAGAACTTTTTCCTTCTTGCCAGTGTCTCTGAGTTACCCTCCAATATCCACTCCTCTGCATTGTCATTAACCACTGGCAGGATTGACCATGCTGATCAACATGTTGATAAAATTTTTTTTAAGAAATATAAATCAGGGGCTGGAGTGAAAGCACAGTGGGTAGGGCGTTTGCCTTGCACGCGGCCAGCCTGGGTTCAATTCCCAGCATCCCATATGGTCCCCTGAGCACTGCCAGGAGTAATTCCTGAGTGCAGAACCAGGAGGAACCCCTGTGCATTACCGGGTATGGCCCAAAATGCAATAATAATAATAGTAATAATAATAATAATAATATATATGCGATAGCACAGCGGTAGGGCGTTTGCCTTGCACGCAGCCAACATGGCCGACCCGAGTTCGATTCCTCCGCCCCTCTCGGAGAGCCCGGCAAGCTACCGAGAGTATTCGATATGCCAGACACAGTAACAACAAAGTCTCCAATGGAGACGTTACTGGGCCCGCTCGAGCAAATGGACGAACAACGGGAGGGCCTTTACCTTAACCTTACATATATATATATAAATCAGTCCTCATCTTCTTTGATACATCTGACCCAGTTGGTCCACACCCTTCACGTGACTTTCAGAACACCATATTCCCTTAGATCCACCCCGCAGTTCCCCATCCCACTGGCCCTTTCTTGGTGTTACCTCACTGTCCCACTCTTGATGTGGTATGTTCCAACTTTTCTCAAATCACACCCATATTCCTTGATGAGGTCATCTAATCTTTACTCAGAGGCATATCAAACTAAGTGAATCACCAACCAAAACCAAACTCATATACGTCCCCACACATATTTTTCCACAGCTTTCACCCTTGGTGAACGGGAGCATCCTCCTCTTTCCAGTTGCCTTGGACAGAAACTCGTGGAGAACAAATTCCTTCTGTTAATGCCCAGATCCAGTCTACCATGAGACCACAGCAGTTCTAATATGTTCCAAGTTAATGACCACTTCTCACCACCTCCGCTACCAAGAGTCCAAGCCACGCCCACCTCTGAATTAAGAAACTAAGATGAATCATGGTCTCAGCAGTTTCCCTGCTTCATCCTGGATCCCCACAGCCTCCTCAACGGAGTAGCGGGAGGCGACGCTTGAAAGTGTAAACCAGTAACTCAACTGCAGCCTGAAAAACCTCAGGACTTTCCATTCAAAGTTTCGGGCAATTCGGTCCCGGGGAACCCTGTATGTCCTGTTATTCCCAACAATTAGATACTTGGGCCTTCTGTCCCATTCTAGGGCAGGTCAAACAAGTTTCATTTCTGCATCTTTACAATGCCTGGAATGTTCCCAGAGTCCTGCCTGGGGTCCGTCCATAAAACCTGGGGGTGGGGTGGGGGGGGGGGGTCGGTCCTCTAATTCTAAGACTGTGCACGAGGCAGACATCTCTATTGCATCAGTGAAGTGAGGTTTACAGGCCACCTCCTCAGCGAATGGAGTTGGGGGTCCAACTCCCATGAATTTGCATTGATCAGGAATTCTCCAGGGAGGTTTTACTGAGGGTGGTGCGAGGGTATTCCTCTCTAGTCACTGCGATTCCAGCTCTGAGAGGTGCTTGTTGAGGTCTGGAAACTGGGGGGGGGGGGGGGGGGGGGGGGAGGAAAAGAGGGGGGAGAGAAAAAAAAAAAGAGCAAGGCGGGGGGTGGGCGCCGGGGGGACCCGGGAGGGGCAGGCCTTGGAACTGGGGCATGATGCAGGGTTGAGCACACGCGGGTCTGAGAGGGGCGGCCACGCTGACAGGCTGGAACACCCACCCCCGCTCCGCTCCTCAGACACGCCGGCGGGACGCTGCGCCAGCTCGCAAACGCTCCCCTGACTGACTGACTGACGGATTGACTGACTGACTGAGAATTTGAGCAACACGCGCCGGGTGCTGCTCGGGCCGGGCGAGGCCAAGTGTGTCGGGGTGCGGGTCGCGTGACACTAGAAAGTTCCCGAAGCCGCGGCGCGCCCGGAACCCGAGGGTCTGTGGGACCACCGCGGCCCACCCCCTCAGCGCCACTTCTTCCACCGACTTCCGGGCCCTGTCAGGGCGCCAGCCGCCAAGCCCCACACGCCCTTCCCCTCCCGCCCACCCTCAGGCCGGACTCGGGGACTCGGTCCGGAGAAGCCCCCCCGCCACCCCGCAGAGGCCCGGCAGTGAAGACCCCCGCCTCACCACGGCTCCGGCCACGGCGTGGACCAGGCTTTCGTAGGACAGCACGGAAGCCATGGGTGCGGTTGCCCACAGAGCCAGCCACTATCCCCGCAGAAACCGCGCGCAGCCCGCTGAGGAAAGCAGCGTCCGCCCCTCGGGCACGAGCGTCACGATTTCCCCTTCCTCGGGCCCGCCCCCTTCCGAGCTACTTCCGGGTCGCAGGGCGCGCGCCGTCTCCCGGGGGAGGGCGGGACTAGGAACGCCCTCTCGGCCCATTGGTCGCCGGCGGCAAGCCACGCCCCCACGGGCGTGCCTCGAGGAGCCGCTGCCAGCCCCGGGTCTGCCCAGCTTCAGAGTTTTGACTTTGAGACAGGTTGGGACTCAACCCTGCTCTTTCCTCTGCGATTGAACCCGCACTTTCTTCCCTCGTTACTATTATGAATGTCACGTTTTGGCCGTATTGACGGACTTGGCAACGTTCTCTCTTCTGACAAGCAAGGGGTGTGGTGGGAAGAGAACTTATCTTCAAGGTATTTTTCTGTGACCGGAGGCCGGTGGGAAGGGACGAGCTGGTGACACGGAGGAGAGCCACTTCTTTTGGGTTCTCCCATTTCCATGAGAAAACGACAAAAAACGAGTGCTAAGTCTATTTTGATGCGAGGATTACAAAAGGATCTGTAAGACTTACGTTCTAAAAATACAAAGAAATTAAAATTTTCCCCCTATCTCGCCCGCACGACAAAGCCTGGCAAGCTACCCGTGCGGTATTCATATGCCAAACACAGTAACAAAACTCACAATGTTACTGGACCCGCTCCAGCAAATCGATGACCAACGGGAGGGACAGTGACTGATTGCAGTGAGGGAAGTTCAGGGCTGGAGAGAACGGGTAAGGCGCTTGTCTTGCACGCTGCCAACCAGATTCGAGCCCCTGCACTTCGTAAACTCCCCCTCTCCCCCCGCGTCCCGACCTGAGCACCATTGTGTGGCCCAAAATCGGCGAAGGCGAGGACAACAGGCAGGGAAGTACACAGACACCACATTCAAACTCTAGCCCAGGTCATAGGAAGGCGCCAAGTTGTTGTATTTCGACTCCTTTTCTAGGAACCATTGTCTCTATCTCAGCACCAGCAAGTTTACTTGTGTGATAAAATCCGTTTCCAAGCTCAGTGCTTAATGCCTACTGTTGCATTCATTCAAAATTTCTTACATTTTTGCTACTGTTTCACATTTATTTTGTTTTGGGGGCCACACGTGGTGATACGTAATGTCTAATTTCAGGACACCAACTGTTTGTTTATACTAGCTCTTATCTACTTGCTACTCTAACTTTGCCTGATGCTTAGGATTTATAATTCTATAGTTAGATATTTCCCCAAAAAATGTTTTCTGCTTTGCAGCGCTGGGGATTGAATTCTGAGGCTAACACAGCAAAACAATGGCTCTAATGCCTAATTACATCCGTTAAAAATGTCAAAAAAATTACAGGGAATCATGGATACTCCAATGGCACATTTACAAATTGGCAATGAATTAGAAGTATTTCTAAATTTTGCTAACTTGAAATAACCACCCACCCAATTTGTCCATGTTTCTGGACCATGGGTACCTCACCGCCCTCTGTACTAATCTGTTCCCAAACGCCTGTTTTGTTGTGAGATTTTGTTTTTTTGGTGGAAGGTGAGGTGGTCTTGTTACCTGTACTCAACCAATGAAGGATGCGGTATCAACTGTAAAAATTCTATTCAGGCTGTGGTGGAAAATAGTGGATAGGAAGCTTGTCTGACACACAACTGGTGTTCAATCCTCAGCACCCCAGTGGGGTCTGGAGCCCAGTCACAAGTGACAGCCCAGTGTGACTCAACACACCCCAAAAGCTATTCACCAGAGGACCAGGAAACAGCTCAGTGGCTTGGAGCACAGGCCACAAGATCAACTCCTGGTGCCACTACTGTGCAGTACTTGGTCACAGCAGCTTTGTCACGTGATCCCTGGCCCTGAAGCAATTTCCCACACCACAGCAGGGCTGGAGTGATAGCACAGCGGTAGGGCGTTTGCCTTGCATGCGGCTGACACTTTTGATTCCTCTGCCCCTCTCGAAGAGCCCGGCACACTACCAAGAGTATCTCGCCCGCAAGGCAAAGCCTGGCAAGCTCCCCGTGACATATTTGATATGCCAAACACAGTAACAAGTTTCACAATGTTACTGGGCCCACTCGAGCAAATCGATGAACAATGGGACGACAGGGACAGTGACAAGGACAGTCAGGAGCGGAGTAACATGGACTGGATGAGAGCACTGACCAGATATTTAACCCTAACTGAGCACAACTGATGTTTGGGCACTATAGCCAGACAAGTGGGATTGCCAGCCAGTGTAGCACTAAAGGGAAGAAATGACTTTTGTTTGGGGGCTATCCCCAGCTGCACTCAGGGCTTATTCTGGACTATACACTCAGAAATCATTCCTGGTGGGCTTGGGAGACCATATGGAGTGCTGGGGATCGAACCTGGGTCAGCTGAATGCAAGGCAAATGCCTGATCACTGTACTATATCGCTCTGGAGCCTGTGCCATAATTCTTAAAACTTTCCCTTCCCCTCTCATTGGGACTGTCACAAGTGACCACACCAATTATGCCATTAGGATAAACCCTTTTTCATTAGCAACATTTGCACACCCAATGTGTATTAAAGAACCCACTTCAAATGTACATATTACTTTCAAGTTTCTTGAAGTAATGAATAATTCTGCAAAAAGAATCCTTGTATACTTCGATTCAGAAAGAAGCCTGGTGAGAACCCTATCTCCACAGTTAAATGTTTACGTTACCCTCACGGAAACACTCCAACAGTGGAGGGCAGTGGTCAACCAGGAGGAGCAGGTGCAGAAGGCGGTCAAGAATTAGTATAAAATCCAAATAGCAACAGTACTATAAACCAGTGCCAAAAATTTACTTTGAAAGAGTCTGTGACAGCTGGAATAGAGAAGGGTTCACTTAAGAAATGATGGCTTGAGGAACTGGTCAGGATGGGAGATGTGTGCTGAATGTAGATAAAGAACCAAACATGGTAACCTCTCAGTGTCTGTATTGCAAACCATAATGCCAAAAGTAGAGAGTACGGGGAATATTGTTTGCCATGAAGGCAGGGGGAGGGTAAGAACGGGGGGAGGGGTATATCGGGGATATTGGTGGGGAATGTGCACTGGTGGAGGGATGGGTGTTTGATCATTGCGTGACTGTAACCCAAACATAAAAGCTTGTAACTACCTCACAGTATTCAATAAAATTTTTTAAAAAATTAAAAAATAAAAATAAACGTTACCCCCCCCCCGCGCAAAAAAAAAGGAAAGGGCCTGTCAAAAGGGGCTGCGCTGAGCGATAGTACAGTGAGTAGGCCCTGCCTTGCACACAGCCAACCTAGGTTTGGTGCCACGAGTGATTCCTGAATGCAGAGAGCCAGAAGGAACTCCTGAGCATCCCAGGTGTGCCCCACAAACAAAGAACAAAAGACGCGCCTGTCACAGTGGCGGGTGGGAGGTAAAATGGGAACACTGGTGGAGAAGTGGACACTTGAGAAGAAATGGCGCTGGAACTCTATGCCTGAAACATGCATAAAACACAATCACACAAAACTCTGTAATACCTGGTGACTAAAAAGGGAAAAAGTTACCTTCACAGGCATTATTTTAGGATGCAGCCATAATGTGCAAGCTCGACAAAGTACTTCGTGTAGAGAAAGTATTACTTACCTGATTAATGTGCCTACTGGGACGCTTTATTTTAGCATTAGCATACCACTAAGATGTAAACTATTTCCCCCTTACCCATTACGTCAGTACTCCTGAATGGCAGAGCACAAGTTACCACCTCTTCAGTTCTTGCTGTTACACCAGAAGGTGCTCCTGTCTAGTGCTTGAACTTGCAGTGCTCAGAGGTTGCTCCCAGCTGTGCTTGGAAATCAACGTAGTGGCAAGACCAAATGTGGGACTCTTGCACCCAAACGATGCGCAAGCAGTTGGGCTCTTTTCCAGACTCTGGCTCAGGACTTCTCCATGTTTTTAATAGTAGTATTTACTGGGCATATGCTCATACACCACCTGCATTTATTCTGCAGCTTTCTTTGTAGCTACATACAATGTTGTAAGGGGGGGAGAAAAGGAAGTGGGTGGGGGGTTTTAAGCTGGAAAAAAAATAGGAAAAATTTGAGGAAAAAAATTATAAATATCATGCAATATCTCAGCATAAGCTTCCCTGGCACCCTCAACCTACTTCCTCAGGAAGAAGATGAGCACCAGAGGAAAGAAATAGAAGCTTCGAGTCAAAGCAAACTTGCTTACTATTATAGTGCTACTTAAAGAAAAGTACAGTTTGGTTTAATCCAATGTATCTTCAAGAGTCCTTGCTAACAGCAAGGGCAACTGTTTTATATAAACTGATGCTTTGTTGTTTAGTAAGTAACTTAAGAGTACTGGTGACACACAAAAAAACAGAAAAGATGGTGCTAAAACAAAGGGGAAGAAGGGGACGCAAAAGCCCATGTGAAATCAGTTTTTAACATAGGTAGAAATATCCACTAACTAATGCTTTTAAGCAGAAACTTTACTTTTCCTTATAGCATCATTAGCACAAGAACATAACACTTTTGATTTAGAAATAATATTGTAAATTTCATAAACTTTCTATGAAAATGAAGAACATATTCTCAACTTGTGGAAACTTGAAGGCCCAAAACAACCCAAGATACATTTTGGTATCATTCAGTAGACCATGACTTTCACCCATTTATGCAATATCAAATATACTTAGGTAATGTTTAGTCAAATAAATCAAATAAGAACCCCAGAAGCAACTACTCTTCCTGAGTTATTCACAGCACACAATGGAAATTAAGTAAAACACAGCAACAAAAAGTATACTAACAAGTCCAAAGTTTATATGCAGAGTATTTTTTTTTACCACACTGAGTATTTTTAAAGGACTTAAACCTCATGCTCAATTAGCATACAGCTTTTCCTCACTTATACAATAAATGCATTAGTATGTGCTTGTGAATGGCAAAGGGTAAGCCCCTGAATCAATTTACTTATGAGCTCAGAAATGTATTTCTTACCATTTACTTCAGTGCTTCTGCCAGAGCAGAGGCTCTCAATCCTTTGAAACTGCTCAAACACAAGCATTGTAAATTGTAAGATAGGCAGAAATCGAGCAATTCCTGATATAATGCCTGTATTTAGGCACTTAATGTAAAACTTAAATGTATAACATAAACATTATCATTTTCTTTATCCTTGGAGAAAATGGAGCAGAACAGAGAGGAGGTACAGGACTGCACTATTTAAGAGCTGAACAGGAGGAATGGTATTTCATGATGCTGACAATTGCGCGCACGCACACACAAAAAACAAAACATGCATTTTATGATACGCAATTCATGCTGGATCCACAAGTTATGTGATCCACCACGTTATCAATTAATGCAAAGCTCACACTCTTCAAAATACAAAGATGAAGACACAAAATAAAGTGTAAGTGCAGTGGGTATTTCCTAAGTAGAAGAACAAACACCAAAGGAAATCCCTTCTTCCAAGACGTTTGAGTATAAAATTTCACCGAAGTGAAAACTGAATATAGACAGACATTACAGTAGTTAGAGTATTACCCTACAAACTTACATGTGTTACACATTAAGCACAATAAATTTGCTTGCGCAATATGTGGTGAAATAACAGTAATAATTCTAGTGAAAAACATTATCTTTCACCCAAGGAAAAAAAGGAAAATGAGAACACAAGTAAAAAGCTGACAAAGTAAAGGACATTTTCTGACCAGTCAATTTTAAACACAGAAAAATAAAATGAAAAGTATTCCTTTTTCACTGTGCGGGAATATTTATTTTATGTATCTGACAAGAAAAGAGCCACGTAAATCCAAGTCCACCTCGAGCATTATAAACACAGTTCCTTCCCATAAGGCCTTGCATGCACCTGTGCAGGTGCCGGCAAGCAGCAGGATCATGAAACCCTGCCACGTACTTCCAGTCCCTACCCAGGGCATACTGTAATACTTGTGGTCCCAAAAGTTTTATTGAGAAAAAAATATTCAAATAACGTACTTAAAAAGATAAATCAAAACACTTCAGTAACCATATAGCCAACTCAAAATTTCTCTACTGAAATTTTATAATTACCTCCAGATGTCAAGCTTTTATTTCACCAAACTGAGCAATAAAGACTCAAGAGGATTAGAGAGATTATGCAGGGATTATCACACCCTTTTAATTGGTCTTAAATATTTTTACCGTTTAAAAATATTTGAAGTTTATAATTCCTAGTAGGAAACATTATCTGAATGAGTACCCTAAATGGCAAATGTTTCAGTTGCATATGGGGCAGAGGGCTACGGATCATATTCAAAGCACCCCAGCTTTCTTCACAAGAAGGTCAGAGGTACACTGGTTTCTATTATTGCGACATCCACGGGTGATCTAACTCGCCTTTTCTTCAGCAAGGGCTTTTCAAGAGGACATTATGACTGACCTCCAAATTTCGCTGACAATTTACTGATAAGATTCATGACCTTTGGGTTGCTCTGATATTTGGACATGTTTGCTGGATTCTGGGCCACATCCTGAAAGGCCACCATAACTTCTGGATCCTGGGGGGGAAAAAATTTTATTTGAAATTGATTAAGTCAGCAAGTTCATTACCTACATATAATCACAGTATAGTCCAGGAATGCTGCTCCGCAGCTGAGTTCAGGCCTTGCCTGTACAAGGTGCTAGGTTTGGTTCTCTGAATCCCAAAACCAAGTAAGTAACAATTAAAAAAAAAAATCCTATATAGACCTATAAACTTGTTAACTATGTCAAGTTAACTATGGTCTGGACAAGAACCTAAAATATAAGTTCTGTATGTACTTCAAAGTCAACTGGCACTTGAAATAGCTAATAAAAATGCATATAAAATGCTGATACAAAGAAAAAGTAGTAGTTACAGTGATCACAGAGTATTAACTATAGTTTCTATTTAAAATTTTTTTCCTTTGTGGGAAGTTTTGGACCACAGTCTGTGCTGCTCAGCTGTTACTACTCCTGGATCTGTGCTCCAAAGTGACCTTGAGCAGAGCTTGGAGGACCATATACAGGGCTCAGGATCAAAATGGGGTTGATTGGTTGCGTGTAGGTTAAGTACCTTACCCTCACAGTATCTCTTATTTTTTTGGAGGGGGGAGTCCACACCTGGCAATGCTCAGAGGTTACTCCTGGCTCTGCACTCAGGAATCACTCTCCTGGCAGTGCTCAGAGGACCATATGGGATGCCAGGATCATTGGCTGTGTGCAAGGCAAGCGCCCTGGACTATCTGCTGGACTATCGCTCCTCTCCAATGCCCCTCCCTAACCCCCCATACTATCTTTCCAACCCTTTAAATAGTACAAAAGGCAAAGGATTAAATCCCAGCCATCACATGAGACCTTTCAAGCACTGCCAGGGGTCAGTCTAAGTACAGGGCCAAGAATAGCCCCTGAGCAATTTAAGGTGTGGCCCAAATCCTTCCCACCCAAAAAGCTATTCACTATGAAAACTACCATGGAAACGTATGTCACAAGTACATAATTAGCTACTGATCACTTAATCACTTAACTTCCCGTTAGTCGTCGATTTGCTCGAGCGGGTGCCAGTAACGTCTCCATTTATCTTCCCGGAGCTACTGATAATTCAGAATAATTAAAATATGATCAACACCATATTTTAATTATTGTCAATTATTGCCGTATCTTATTTATGGTCAATCTTTGTCTCAGCACAAAAAGTGTGTGTGGGCAGGGGTATCTTACTCATGTAAAGACCAATTTTTGTTTGTAGACCACATCAAGTGGTACACAGGGGCTACAACCAGTGCTCACGGGCACCCTTGGAGACCTCAGGGAACCAAAAGGTATTCAGTATCAAACCCTGGCTTCCCACATGCAAAGTAGATGCTCCAGTTCTTTGAACTAGCATCCTGGCTCATAAAGGCCAAGTCTGCAAAGTCTCACCTGCATGGCTGCCAGAACCTCTGGATCACTAAGAATTTCATTGAGTCCGGGCATTCCTGCCATTCCTGCCATTCCAGGCATTCCTCCAGAAAAAGCACCACCAGGCATTCCCCCAGGAAAGCCACCTGCAAGGATTGAAAGAATTGTATAGAAGCAAAGATATTATCCAACAGTATAAAATCGAAGAACACCAATTCCCTCTGATTAACACACAAACAAGGGTGCCATTAAACCAAATGAATTTGAAACATATTAACTAAATGTAACAAAAGAATTTCTGTGTGTGCTTTGTTCTGGGTCACATATGGCTGTGTTCAGGGGACTATATATGGTCTCCGAATGGCTGTGTACAGAACAAGGGCCCTACCCACTGTAGCATCTCTCTGGCCCTGAGGTTTGGTTTATTTTTGAAGCCAGAACTTTTGTTTGTAAACCACAGTTTATTTAATAGTGTAAGAGGTGGGGCCAGAGCAACAGTACAACAGGTAGAGCATTTGCCTTGCAGCAGGCCAAACTAAGTTTGATCTCTGGCATCCCATATGGTCCCCTAAGCACTACCAGGAGTAATTCCTCAGTGCAGAGTCAGGGGTAAACCCCTGAGTGTTGCCAGGTGTAACCAAAAAGAAAAAGGGGGGGGGGGGGGGAAAGGGGTCTGGGGAAAACAAAATAAAACTTAACTTTTGGTCTGGAGTGATATAAAGAGCTGTGCCTTCCACACCATGGATCAGGTTTGATCCCAGCACTGCATACAGTCCCCAAAGCACCACTAGGAGTGATCCCTGAGCAGAGCCAGGAATGTGGGTTTCCCCACACACACACAAAAAAAGAACCCTTATTCTTCACTTTTAATGGGCCACCCCAACTGTGCTCAGATCTTAATGCTGGATATGCTCAGGGCTCAGTCCTAGCTGGGCTTGGGGGCCGCTATCTATGGTGCCCAGAACCGAACCAGAGCCAGTCTTACGAACAGGGAGCCTCTCTGACATGCGGCCAACACGGATTCAATCCCTGGCATCACGTATGTCTCCCCAAGCACTGCCAGGAGTAATTCCTGAGCACAGAGCCAGGTACGGGTCCCAAACAAACAAAGAATTATTTTCTCCAGTATAAAAAGGGCCCAGGAGCTGGTGTGATAGTTCAGCGGGTAGAGCATTTCCCTTGCACACGGCCCACCCGGGTTCGATTCCCAGCATCCCATATGGTCCCCTGAGCGCCGCCAGGAGTAATTCCTGAATGCAGAGCCAGGAGTAACCCCTGTGCATTGCCAGGTGTGACCCAAAAAGCTACATAAATAAATAAAAAATAAAGTAGAAGGCAACCAATTTTAGAGAGAAACAAAAAATAAAATAAAATAAAATAAAATAAAAAGGGCCCAGCTCCACACCCACTCTCTGAGAGACTAAAGAGACCAGACTGCTGGGGTGGTTCAAAGCTCCCGGAGGGCACAGCATCTGCCAATTTTGCAAATTTTGCAGTAAATCGGATGGGAAAGCTGCATAAAAGCCACTGAGCTGAATGGACAGAGCATAACACAGAGGGCTCAGGGTGCACTAACAGCTCAGTGAATCCTCAATGATCTTAGTGACACCACTGTGAAGTATGCGCTCAACTAGCAATATGAAGGAAACGATACTATGTCTGCTAAGGGGGCAGATTTGAAGGGTGAGTGCGAAACTGAGGACATTAGTGGAGGGAAGGTCACACGCATGGTAGGACTGGTGTTGGAACACTGAATACCTGAAACAACTGCATTATGAACAACATTGTAAATCACCTATCTAAATAAAGTTTCAAACATTTTTTAAAAATACATGTTTTCCGGGGGCTGGAGCAATAGCACAGCAGGTAGGGCGTTTGCCTTGCATGCGGCCAACCCGGGTTCGATTCCCAGCATCCCATATGATCCCCTGAGCACTGCCAGGAGTAATTCCTGAGCGCAGAGCCAGGAGGAACCCCTGTGCATTGCCGGGTGTGACCCAAAAAGCAAAAAAAAAAAAAAAAAAAAAACCCAAACATGTTTTCCTCCAGACTCAAGGGAACTGGGAATGGGTGACCACCTCCCATCTCCCCCTATTTCCGGCAGATCAGCAGTCACACCCACAAGCTGCCGCTGGTGCCATATAGTCTCATTAATGGCCATGATCCAGAGATTCAATTTAAATTTCTCAGAAGAAAACGCAGAACGATATGCCACTGACATGTCACCAGACCCCACACCAGGCTGTTTCATTCAAGGCAACCCGGGGTGGGGGCGGGCGAGGTCCCTCCCCATCCACCAAAAACCTCAACTCAACCGCCAGTGTGCTCACGGCTGCTGACCACACCCTAGGACAGGTCTCACCCATGAGTGAATCTATTCCTAGACATCTTAACCTTAAACCACTGATTTACCCAGAGTAGCACACCACATCTGATGGGGTGTAAAGCAAAAGGCAAGCAATCACAGGGGGAAATACATTTATACAGATACATATACAAGCACACAAGGCTCAACCTTTAACATGCTACTAATGTAACTAATAACTTATAGAAGGGTTTAATGGCTTCTTGTTAAATACAACAATCTTCACACACTTTCCTCTAAAAACCTTTTTTGTCACATTTTTAGTGAATTTTCATAACAATACAAAATAAATTATTTCTGTTCTGCTTTCAGGGCAGGGCTTGGAGTCTGGAATGGAAATAACGGTGGTGGGAAGGAAGTGGTGGGACTGGTGTTTGAATAAATGTAATCAAATATTTTGAAGTTTATAAAACTACACGTCTTCTCAAACTGTGAGAAGTATATTGCATTTTCACTAACAAGAAAATCTAACAAGATTGAATCTTTTTAGAGGATGACATTCTATAGACTTTTCAGTGTTCCAGAGACTTTTTCTAAATATAAAGTATTTACCTGAGCTCCTAAATCACACTACTCAATTATTTACACTATTAACAGTTTAAAATTTTTCCTTAGAAATACCTGGGAAAGATCCATACTGAGGTCCTGATTGTCGTCTGGCTTCTTCCTCCTTCAATATAAAAAGAAAATAAAATACACATTTAAAAGCTTCCTTCTAAGACCAAAATACACATTTAAAAGCTTTCTTCTAAGACCCTATTATTAGCACAACCACGTAAAACGTTGTAAAACAACCTAGTTAGGTACTTTTGACAGAAGGAAAAAGCTGGCATGCAAAATTTTTTTCCAATTTAAATTTTTTGGGGCTCTGGGTCACACCCGGATGTGTTCAGGGCTTACTCCTGTTTCTATGCTTATGAAAACACCTGTCCATAAGCATAGAGACACCTGGTACAGGTGTTTTCATGAGCAAAAAACTAAAAACTAATAGCTAATTTTAAATTCCAAAATTTGATTAGAAGGGTTAAATAACTAAGAACATGATTTTTGTTTCCTAAACTCATCTTTTCCTTAATTTTCCTCCACAACTCAACACAACTGAAGACTTTTTACTGATTTGTTTTCAAAACACAAAAGAGGAAATGCATGCAAGCTATAAAATCATCAGATGGGGCTAGAGCGATAATACAGTGGGCAAGGCTTTTTTACCCTGCACGCGGCTGACCCTGGTTCAATCCCCAGCATCCCATATGATCCCCCGAGCACCGCCAGGAGTAACTCCTGAGTGCAGAGCCAGGAGTAACCCCTGTGCATTGCCGGGTGTGACCCACTGACACTGACACTGTCCTCCCGTTCATTGTTCATCGATTTGCTCAAGCGGGCCCAGTAACGTTTCCATTTTTTTGAGACTTGTTACTGTGTTTGGCATATTGAATACATCACGGGTAGCTTGCCAGGCTTTGCCACGCGGACGAGATACTCTGGGTAGTTTGCCAGGAATCGAACCCAGCTCAGCTGGCTTGGCTGCAGGCAAGGCAAACGCCCTACCGCTGTGCCCCCCAAAAAGCCAAAAATAAAATAAAATGATTAAAATAAAGATAAAACCAGATGATACAAAAAAATATATAGGGCTAGAAAAAGAGTATAGGGGTTAAAGCAAGCATCTTACGTGCATGAGGCCAACCCTAGTTAGGTCCTTGGCAGTGTATACGGTCCCAAGACACTGTTAGGAGTAATCCCTGAGCACAGAACAAGAAATAAGCCCTGAGCACAAACTGGGTGTGGCCTAGCCTCATCCACCAAAGATGAAACTAAAAAATGTAAAAATTAAAAAATCATAAACTACCATTGTAAAAAAATAAAACATGATGCTTAAAACATTAAATGACAAAAATTTAATTGTAATGTTAAGTTATAATAATACAGTTTCAGGACCATTTGTTCAACAATGTTGGAAATACTTAGAAAAAACCTGATAGAATCATGGGCCTGAGAGACAGTACAGTAGGCAGGGCACTTGCCTTGCGTGCAGATGACTGGGTTCTACCCAAGGCACCCCGTACGGTCCCCCAAGTCTGCAAGCTGTAAATGCCTGAGTGCATGGCCAAAAGTAAGACCGGAGTATCGCAAGCGTGAACAAAATAGCAAAAAGACAAAACAACAACTGCAACACCCAGACTGCTGACCTCAGTCTGATCCCCAGCACCATGTAAGATCCCCCAAACACTGTCAAAAAGCTAGCAAAAAAATCTAGAAGAATTTACTTGTTTGGGGTGGAGGGTGAGAGGCCATATCCACTGATGCTCAGAGGATACTCCTAGCAGTGCTCTGGGGACAATATGGGATGCTAAGGATCAAACCTGGATTGACCACCTGCAAAGCGAACACACCACCCACTGTACTATCTCTCCGGCCCCTCTAGAAAAAACCTTAAGAACAGCAGGAAATGTAGGTTTCTGTTAATGTGGCTAACCTCAGTCTGATCCCTGGCACCACATTGTCAAGAATGAAGCCTGGAGAGTCAAAGAGACAGTACAGAGCAGAGGGTAGAGGGCTTGCCTTGCATGGTCCCCTGAGATCTATCAGGAGCTATCCCTGAGCAGAGCCGGAAGTAAGCTCTGAGCACAGCAGGGCATAGCCAAAAATAAAAGAATGTGCACAGAGCAAAGACTAAGCACTGAACACAGTCAAGTGTAGTCAACTGACCCTCCCCTCAAAAATTAAAAGTAGGCAAGTAAAATTTCAATAACCATGAATCAATTCACTATTATAAACAGGGAAAAAATAAAATAAACCTTAGCAAATCTGAACAAGCATTATTCTTCTTGAAGTGGTGGGAAGAGGGTGTGTTTCGGCCACACCGGAAGTGCCCAGAGGTCACTCCTGGAGATGCTCAGGGGACCACATGTGTTGCCAGGGATTGAATCAGGGTCTACTGAATGCACAAGAAACAACTTACTCCCTGCAGTATATCTCCAGACCCAGAGTATGATTTTTTTTTTTAAGTAAATAAGACTATAAAATTTTAATACTTGACACAAAAACCTCTCAATTTTATCAGGACAGAAAGAATACAATACAAAGAAATATTTTGATTTTAAGACCAAGGTTCAGTAGTAGAAGTGCCAAACATTGTACGACTAAATCAAGAACAATTTTGAAACTCTGCATCTCACGTGATTCAATAAACTAAAAAAATTTTTTTTCATATTTACACCAATAAGAGACTATGAAGGGAAAGAAAACCCAAACCTTTAAGCACTACCATTATCCTATAGATTAGCAGTCAGCATTATGTAAGTCAAGAATTAAAATACCCTAGGTCTTTAATTCACTTTGTTTCCCTTTAATGGTTTAGCCATAGAAATTTTACCCTCTGGGCTCTTTCATGTTCTTCCCGAGCCTTCTTAACCCGTTCTAATCGTTCTCTGATCTCCCGCTCTTCACGTTTACGCTCATATTTTCTCCGATGTTCTGCAATTTTCTGGGCCTGGAAAAAAGAAGCCAAAAATTAAGTATAACAGTAAAGTCAGTCCAAGATGACTGATTTGGTAGTAACTCTTCTTTGTTAACATGTCTGTAATTCAACACATATTTCTGAGTAAGTTAGAAAAAAATCCTAGCATACCACATTAAGGAACTAAGAGCAAATAAGCATTCTCATAATACTTATGAAAACATAAGTATTATAATCTATTAACAAAACTAAGTTGAAAAACACTTTCTATTGCACAGCAATTCTTACTGATACATGTCATAGGAAGGCATATATTGGAAACAGACATACCTATTTAACTGAAAATTAAGAGAAAATACATATACCAGTAGTAGTACAGAGCTTATGCACATAAAATCAGTTATTTGATTCAGAAAAGGAAACACATGTAGGAGGATCATAATCAACTATTAACATTATTTGCAATTACATTTATGACTCTCATATTCTAGAATATCTCAGGCAACAGTAGGCCTGTAGCCTTCCTGCCCCGCCGAGACCACGAGTTGCCCCCCACGAGCGGCTCTGTGGCACGGCCATGGCCCCAGAGGCACACGGACCCAATTTGGAACCCAGCGGCTTTTGGCAGAAATCCCTCCAGACTTAATTAGTAAAATATCAGAAACCCAAAGTTGGACGGCCACTATTGCGGCCGCACAACATCATATGGTGTTCATAACCAGCAATAGAAAACAAATTATTTAACGATACCTTTTCAGCAGGTCTGATTGTTGGGGGGAAATTCTAAACAATAATGGTGCATCTTTTGTCGAAATAATGAATGTAATCAAAGTAGAAAAAGAGTTAAGTGGAAATCATCTGCCTCACAGGCAGGGGGAGGGGTGGGATGGGGGGGTATATTGGGGTTCTTGGTGGTGGAAAATGTGCACTGGTGAAGGGATGGGTGTTTGATCATTGCATGACAGACTTAAACCTGAAAGCTTTGTAACTGTTCTCACGGTGATCCAATGAATAAATAAATAAATAAATAATTGGGGAAAAAAAGAGCAGGCCTGTAATTTAAATAAGGAAAATCAGGGCAGGAGAGATAGTACAATGGATAGGGTGTTTGCCTTGCAAGTGGCCACCCGTGTTTCATTCACAGTATCCCATATGGTCCCCAGAGCAACACCAGGAGTAACCCCAGAGCGCCGCCAGGTGTGGCCCCAAACAAAAAAATCATAGAGTGTGGTAGTAAATGTTACACAAAATCTTCACGGGAGTTCTTGAATAAATTCACTAAGGTAAAACTTCCCATAAAGTTATTTAGAAGGAAAAAGAATTTAAACCATTTTACTAACTCCAAGAGGCTCCTGAAGTGCTCGCAGCAGCCCCACAGCAGCCTGGGCAGGTCCACCCTGCAGAGCTGCCTGTCCTCCTTGCCCACCTCCAAGTCCAGTCAGTTGGACATAAAGTTGGAGGCTAAGGTAGCGTGAATGCATGAGAACAGTCTCAAGGGGCCCCAGAACGGGAGACTCCAGTCCACTCCCACACCCTGTCCTTAGGTCCAGGGTTCCTGGACGCTGGCTCTGGAGACTAGAGGCCAGGGCCTGTTGGGAGAAACAGGAAGCCCGGATTTTCACAGACTACCCAGATTTCAGTGTCAGTTTTCATCTTTCCTTTGTTTTTGCAGTGGTAGGCAGGGTGTGAGCTGGAGTGATAGCACAGCGAGAGAGCGTTTGCCTTGCACACAGTCGACCCAGGTTGGATTCCTCCGTTCCTCTGGGAGAGGCCGGCAAGCTACGAAGAGTATCCTGCCTGCATGGCAGAGCCTGGCAAGCTCCCCCGTGACGTATTCGATATGCCAAAAAACAGTAACAACAAGTCTCACAATGGAGATGTTACTGGTGCCCGCTCGAGCAAATCGATGAACAATGGGAGGACAGTGTTACACAGTGCTAGTAATGATTTTTTTTGTTGTTTTCGGGCCACAACCAGTAATGCTCAGGGCTTACTCCTAACTCTGTGCTCAGAGAGCTTGGGGGACCATTTGTGGCACCAGAAATTGAACTGGGGTTGCTGTGTGAAAAGTTAAGCATAGGATTCCTGTACTTTATCTCTCTAGCTCATTAGTGTACATTTTTAAAGATATCCTAGCTTTGGCACTCACTATTATAATTTACCCCTGATATTATTCTTTAAAGGTGGAGAAATGGGGCTGAGGAGAGGTCTCAAAGTGCTAAAGCACATACTTTGCTAATGGGGGTCCCAGGTTCAATCCCAAGCACCTCACCATCTCCTGAGTACCAACCTGGGAGTACACAGTTAACATTTTTAGGTTTGGCTCCTCTCTCCCACCTAATTTTAAATTTTTAAACGCTAAAACTTTGCTCAGGGGTCATTCCTAGTGCAGGACTATATGAGGTACCCAGGACAGAACCTAGGCCTGCATGTCCCAGCAAGCACCTCAAACTGTTGAGCTACCTCTCCACCCACGAAGTTCTTTTGTCCATGCTATAAATGTGACGACCTTTTTTCCCTTTTCTAACTTTCTGGTTAAAATCTTGTACTTCTTAATTTTTTCCCCCCTGGGCCACACCCACAACACTTCAGGGCTTACATCTGCCTCCATGCTCAGGAACACTCCTCGCGGGGCTTTGGGAACCATATACAATGCCAGTGACTGAACTATCGGCTCTCTGACTACAGACTATTACAGTTTTGTAAACAGGGTTGCATATTCAGTATGAGAAACAGAAGTAGCGGGACCTAATGAGATCGCATGAACACAATCTTTAGAGATTACAAATTGTAATTTCCAGGTATTTGTTTCTGTGCATGTCTCCCAGGTGCATTACTGCCAAGGGAAGCCCCACAACCGTGGACTGTCCCCCCTTCTCTACTTTCACATACCCTGGGCTGGACTTCTTTCAGCATGGCACTAGCATCATCGTCATAATCCAGTTTACATGCAAGGGCAAGGTCATGGGCGGCTTCTTCCCAGTGGCCCAGAAGTCTGAAACAAATTAAATATCATTTTAAGAGCTTTCATAATACAAGTTAATTCGTCTTTCTTATTGTTAAAAAAAAAAATGATACTCCAGGGGCTAAAGCGATAGTACAATGGGTAGGGTGTCTGCTTTACATGCAGCATCCCATATAGTCCCCCGAGCACTGCCAGGAGTAATTCCTCAGTGCAGAGCCAGGAGTAAGCCCTGGGCATCACCGGGTGTGACCCAAACCAAAAGAAATAAAGAATGCACTCCAGTCCTGACTTAGCTCCCTGCCCCTTGACTACGCTTCTTAAGAGGGGCAAGGACAAGAAGAATTAGAAAAATATTAAACTTTAACTAGAAAATATTTTTATTACTCTGAAACAACTTATATATACTGCAGAATGCAAGTAAACACATAACCAAGGTTTCTGACACTAGGTGAAAAGTGTCAAAAAGAAAAAAAAGGGGTGTCAGCTTTAAGAAAGACGAACTCATGTAACTTATCATTACGTGGAAGGACCTAGAAGTTAGCACTGAGTGAAGCCCAAAGGAGAAAGACAGATACAGAATGATCTCTCCCATATGTGGTAAAGAAACACGGACCCACATGTGTGCTAGACATCAACTCAGGGTCAGTCATATGCAACGCAAGAGCTTTACGCTGTGTTCTAGCTCTCTGGCTCTGTTACCTGCACTTCTCAGATAGTTTTGAAAAAAAAAAAAAAATTCCTGAGCTTATGTTTGGTTGTATGGTCAAATACCATGAAGGGCAGTATTCTTTGAATGAAACAACTCAAAGAGGCCTTTACTTTCTAGTATGTTCCTTATGATTGTCTCCAATACTTCATATTGTTCTTTGAAATTAAAACTTCAAGCATTTTTTAGAAGAACGCATAAAACATCAGATTTAAATAAGAGTTCTGAAAGTAATTAAGCTCCATTACCTGTGGGCTTTCCCTCGCCACTTATAAGGCTGAGCTGAATCGGGATTAATTTCAATGGCTCTGTCACAATCTCGGATAGCAGCATTTGGCTTCTGTAATTTGACATAGACGCTGAAAAAGTGCAATGTTGGAAAAGTATTCATGTTAAACGGAACTGCAAAGAAACAATCCTAATGAGCAGGATTATACATCAAGGAAAATATTGTTTTGTTTAAATTCTCACCTGGCTCTCTTGGCATAGAGGATGGCCAGGCGAGGATTCAGCTTGATGGCATCTGTGAACAAGTCGATGGCTTTCTGTAGTTCACCTGAAGCAAAACCCATGATTGAGAAACATTCAGAGGACAAAAAATACTAATAAATATTGAATTCTTGTTTAATAGCTTTATATTCTTCAGTTTATTCTTCAGATCAGGCTATGGAATAGAGATAGTATAGTGGGTCTGGTACCTGCCTTGCACATGGCCAACTCAGCTCAGATCCTTGGCACCACATGCAATTCCCATAAGTACCACCAGGAGTTAATCCCTGAGCACAGAGCCAGGAGTAAGACTTGAGCATTGCTGGGCATAGCCCAAAAACCAACTAAATAAATCTACTTGCTGCATCCCACTTCATGGTTATTTTGTTTATAAACCCTTCAGTGAAGTCATTCAATAAAGTACTAGATGGGGCTGGAGCGACAGCACAGCGGGTAGGGCATTTGCCTTGCACGCGGCCAACTCAGGTTCGATTCCCAGCATCCCATATGGTCCCCTGAGCACCGCCAGGAGTGACTGCAGAGTGCAGAGCCAGGAGTGACCCCTGTGCACTGTCCGGTGTGATCCAGAAAGAAAAAAAAAAAGTACTAAAGAATCAAAGATTGACTATTCTGTATCAAAACATACTATAGAAGGGCCAGAGTGACAGTACAGTGGGTGGGGCACTTGCCTTACACACAGCTGACCCAGGTTCAATCCCCAGCATCCTATATGGTCCCCTGAGCACTGCGGAGAGTAATTCCTGAATGCAGAGCCTCTCAATCCCTCCAAAAATAAACATACTACGGAATCAAAGAATTCCATGCGAAAAGGAACACTTCATACGAAACATGAAGAGTAGCAAGATAAATACAGAAGTTTGAGCTAAATTTCATAATTCACTATAAATTACTGTGTTAAAGATGTTACAGAATTCATAGAATATAGAAAAAAGGGGTAAGGTACATGTCTCAGTGGTAAGAGCACATGCTCTGGATGCGTGAAGCCGGAGTTTGATATCTGACACAATTTAAAAAAAAAAAACACCAACAACCAAAATACACAAGAAGTATTTTTTTAAAGAATTTCTTGAGGAGCTGGAGTGATAGTATAGCAGAGAGGTGGCACCTGCCTTGCACACAGTCAACCTGGGTTTGATCCCTCTCACCACATATGGTGCCCTGAGTCTGCCAGGAGCAATTCCTGAGTGCAGAGCCACAAGGAATCCCTGAGCACTGCCAGCCAGGTGTGCCTCCCCACCACCACCCAAAAAAAAAAAAAAAAAAAAAAAAAAAAAAAAAAAAAACCTTCTGCAGTGTCAGGAACCGAAGCCAGGGCCCAGCACACACAGCATGTGCTTCCAGCCCTTGGCCCATCTCCCCAGGCGCCATCTATTAAGCTTAGTGATTCTTAACACCTGCCCCTCTCCTCCCGGGCCTCTCACTGATTTTACACTTTCCCCACACGGCAGCAACACTGGCCTTTCTGCTATTCCTTGAATATGGAACTGCATTTGCCCTGTTAGTCTCTGTAGTCTTCCTCCTTTCTCAAAGGTCCTTCCCTTCCAGGCTTCTCCCTCAGTTGCTTTCCTGACTGCCCTTGACAGCTCCATCACTGAAGATTCCTTTACACAGTTTATCTTCACCCCCCCACCCCCACCTCCACCCCAGATTTCTGGGCCACACCCAGCGGTACTCAGGGTTTATTCCTGGCTTTACACTCGGGTCACTCTGGGAAGTCTCAGGAAACCGTATGTGGTGCTGGGGATTGAATCTGGGTTGGCCACGAGCCAGGTACCCTACCCACTATACTATCTCTCTGGCCCCTCTATTTCCATCTCTTGATGAAGTCAAGACCCAAAACACCCCTTACTCCCCACACACTCACAAAATTAAAACCTCAGTCATCTATCAACTACATCTAGATGGAGTCTACATCAGCGTTCCGTAACAGCAGACTCCACCATGGCACTGTCACACAATGCCACAGCAGGGAGGAAGGGTTTGCAAGAAACGTTACTGGCTGATGAACATTTGTTAAAAGTGGTTTCTGGGGAAAATTAAGGCCCACTGCAATCTATTATCACTTTCTTTTAAAGGCTTTCCCCTTCAAAAACCTCCTTTCACAGGGCCGGAGCGATGGTACAGCGGATAGAGCACTTGCCTTGCACCCAACTGACCCATGTTTGATCCTCGGCATCCAGAGCACAGCCAAGAGTGATCCCTGAGTGCGGTGAGGAGTAACCCCTGAGCACCACTAGGTGTGGCCCCAAAACAAAACAAAAACAAAAGAACTCCTTTTAGGGGCCAAAGAGTACGGCAGGTAAGGTGCTTGCTTTGAACGCTGCCGAACCAAGTTCGAGACCCATCAGGAATGATTCCGGAGCAGAGCCAGGAGTAAGCCCTGAGCTCAGTAGGATGGGTTCCCAAACAAACAAATATGTATATAAATTAAAAAATTAAAATAAAAACCTCCTTTCAACAGACACAGCAGGATTACAGTCATATTAGGGTCTCATCTACCTTAACTCTCTACCAATCTTATTATTGGTATCAAGTGATTATCAGGCTTTTTACCAATTTAGAGCATCTCCTCTCGTATGATATACTAAAAGAGTTGTTGCCTTCTACTTTCCCACTACTCTGCACTTGCTGTGGTAGAGAAGAGAATACTCACAACACAATAGAACAGAGTAAAGAGAGAAGGAAAAGACTCGGCACTCACCATCATTCAGAGCATCAATGGCGGCCGCCTTCTTCTCATTTGCCTGATCCATCATCTCCTCGGTTATCTACAGGGAAATTGAAGGTTGGTTTAAAACAGAGGGCGAAGAAAGATGCATTTGAACTCTCTCAAGAAGGGGGTATAGCTGCAACCATTTCCATTAATTTTCTTCTCTAGAATCCAAGGAGCAAAGAGGGTAAGACTGATGAGTAAAAACTAAAGAAAACAAACCGCTGTACAGGATGAGTTCAGGAGGTAGCTCAAAGCGCTGAAATACCTGCTCTGGAAACAAAAGGCCTGGGACTGACCCCTGGCACCGCATGGTCCACTAAGCATCACCACGAGTGACCCCAGTACCAAATCAAGACAGAATCCCTCTCACTACCAGCTGTCTCCCCCAAAAGAAACAATCCTTCCATACTGACAAAAATCCACTAATAGTTATAAAACAAGATGCTATTCCAAGTCATATAGCATTTTCTTGCATAGGGGAAACAAGCAAAATTCTATAAAAGAACACAAGAAAAATATATAGCATGCCTGTGGAAGCAAACACTTCTGGGGGAGTGAGGCACGTTCAGCTGTGCTTAGGGACCACTCCTGGCATAAGAGATGACCAAGCCTATGTGGTACTGGGGATCAAGCCCAGCTCAGTCACACGCAAGGTAATCACACTACTTGTACCATCTCTCCAGCCAAGGAAACATTTTAATTTACCACCATGTTACTCAATAAATTCAAAGCACTCTGACAATTTCCATAATTTTTTAAGTTTTATCATTCTTACGAGCCAAGGCAATGAAAAATTAAAGATGACTTCAGCTTGACAAAATGGTGTGCATTTTATTCTGAAGAAACCCGAAAAATTACTCTAGAGAGAAATTCTAGTGAAAAAAAAATCAAAAAAAAGTAATGTGCCTGCCTTGTATCCGACACCAGTTTGCACCCTGAGTACCACCAGGGGTCACTCCTGAGCACAGTGCCAGGAACAAATCTGGAGCACAACAGTGGGGCCCCAACACTGAAAAGAAAAAAATAAAAAATAACTTTTCAAAAACCATCTTTGACTTAAGAATGTAAAGATCCTCAGTGGACAAGCTTAAATGAGGGCTTGAAACACAGCAAGACAGATGGATACTCCAAATGGATGTCAAACCAGGTGTCCCTGAGCTGCTACTCCCATACTTGGCAGTTCATCTGTTGTTTATTTAGAGACCCACACCCAGTGGTGCTCAGGGCTTACTCCTGGCTCTGGACCATATGAGATGCTAGAGCTTGAACCCGGGACAGCGGCATGCAAGGCAAACGAACTATCCACAGTACTATGGCTCCAGCCCAGTCAGGTGCACTCAGTGGTGCCCAGGATTGAACCAGTTTCCTTGCAAAGCATTGCTCTAGGCCCCTAAGTTACTCCATGTGCCCACAGTGTTTTGAAAGTAGTGACAGACACAAGAAAGTTAAGTGTGGGACCGGAGCGATAGCACAGCAGGTAGGGCGTTTGCCTTGCACACGGCAGACCTGGGTTCGATCCCCAGCATCCCATATGGTCCTCTAAGCACCACCAGCAGTAATTCCTGAGTGAAGAGTCAGGAGTAACCCCTGAGCACTGCTGGGTGTGACCCCAAAAGAAAAAAAAAAAGAGAATTATGTGTGAGGTGAAAAGAATATGGGCTGTCAGACACCTGCCAAAATAAATCTGGAATCCTAAGTACAGATCTGGCAAGAATGGTAAATTAAAAGTACACCTGCACCAAAGAAAGGGGCAGTCAAGTAAAAAAAAATTCAGCCCCCCAAAAAAATCACATCCGCCATTCCAACAAGATTCACTGTTTTCATGTAGTCAACAAAGCAGACTGAGAATTTATATATTCGTTTATTTTTGACTTGAGGCTCACACACAGCAGTGCTCAGGGGACTTTACCACATGCAAAGAGAGATAGCAAAGACACTGACCTATCTCTCTTGTCCCCAAGCTAATCTTTTTTCCCCCTTTCTTTTGGTTTTTGGACCACACCAAGTACTGCTCAGAGATCATTACTGGCAGTGCTCACGGGATCCCACAGGATGACAGGGACTTAACATAGGTCAAGCGCCAATAAAAGCAAGCACACTCCCCACTGTACTGTCTCCTGAGCCTCAGGCTGATACTCTGAAGTGGGTCAAGTCCGGAGAGAGTACAGTGAGTAAGGTGCTTGCCGTGCCAAGTGCCTGCCCCTGGGCTGACCCTCTGCATCCCATATGGTCCACCAAGCTTGCAGGAGTAACCCCTGTGCAAAGCCAGTCCCAAACCAAAACAAAATTTATCTTCAGGGCTGGAGATAGTACAGAGAGTAGGGCACCTGCTTGCACATGGGCAATCTGAGTTCAAACCCGAGTATTCCTTATGGTTCTTGTAGTCCTCAGAGACCCACTAGGTTGGGCCCCAAAACAAAACAAATTCCTTAATCAAACAAAAAGCCTCTGAACTTACCTCTACATCTTCATCTCCCATTTCCTGAGGAGTATCAGTGTCTGGTTCAATTACACCCTCATTGTCAATTTCTGCCGGAATGAAGAAAATGTTAAGACACAGGCTGTTCAATATAGTAGCCACCAGCCACATGAAAACTTCTTTGTTGTGGGGGATGGAGAGCCACACCCAGCAATGCTCAGGGCTTACTCCTGGCTGTGGTGCTCAGAGGACCATATGGGATACCAGGGATTGAACCCGGGTCGGCCATGTAAAACACCCTACCTGTTGAACAATCACTCTGGCCCCCATATGAAACTATTAAAAGCTAATGGTTCATTCAACTAATAAATTCAGTATTTTATTTTAAAATTTTTTACTTCATATTAATTTTACTTAAACAATTTTAAAAAAGAATTTTATTCTCCATTAAATATTTTACTGTTCTGACCAATTTACATTTACTTTTAAGTATGTTCAGAGCAACCTAGTATGTGACCTAACTTTTTCAACTATCAAAAAGTCTGAATAACAAATTCAGTATTTCCAACAAAAACGAACAAGTATTGAGTTGCACTAGAAGTGCAAAAATATTCTGGATTTTGAAGGCAGTATGAATAAAGGAAGGAAAATATCTCAATAGTCCATGCAGACTCCACATTGGAATGTTTAGGACATGCAGTCAACCCAGACCCGCACCACGTGGCCATTGACAAGCGTGGCGCCGCCTACCTAGATCACTTTCCTCGCTCGACGGCTCCTCAGCCTCGATGTTTTCCTCCGCCTTGTTACTATCTGCTTTTTCCTCCTAGCCAAGGGAAGTGAACAATGTGATCAGTATTTAATGATATCCAGTATATATACTAATTTAAACAGGTCTACAGACTCTTAATATACAGTTTCAATAATTTAACGTTATCTTCCCTGTTTTGGTAAATTATGTTTCTTTCTTTGCAGGGGATAAGGGTGGGGACTCCCCATACCCGACTGTGCTCAGAGGACCGCCTGTGGTGTCAGGGACTAAACCCAGGTCAGGTGCCGGTAAGACAAGACACCCTACTGCATCCTGTAGGGTCTCCTGAGTAATTCCTGAGCACCACTAGTATGACTCCCCCACGCCCCCCCAAAAAAAAGAAGATGCAAAGCAAATTTCATTTCTATTCTGTAAGTAGCTCAATTCTATGTATATAAAATAATCTGTACTTTTCAAGTTTAATCATTTGTCTCAGAAAATACACCACTCTGGGACCTCAGGAGATTGAGTTCAGAAGTCTGGGTATACACAGACCTGATTTCAATCCCCACCACGGCATGGTCCCCAGAGCATTGCTAAGTGTGGCCCTGGTGGCCCCTTGCACCACCACTCACTGGACCCTAGCAGTGAACTGTCCAGTTGGCTTACCCAAGTCCCATGGAGAGTAACCCTAGCACCGCACCATCCCACAGAGCATCACTAGAACATGAACAGACCACAAACAGGTAACCCAGACCGATTGTTTCAGTTTTGGGTCCCACCCATTGGCGCTTGAGGCTTACACCTGGCTGGGTTCAGGAATCACTGCTGGAAGGGCTCAGGGGACCGTAAGAAGTGTCAAGGATCAAACCCAAGTCAGCTTCAAGCAAGGCAAACACCCTCCCCACTATACTGTCTCTCCAGCCTCCCAATTTAACAGTATTGGTTATATGACAATACCAATTAGATGTTAGATCCCATAGCAGGTAATAAAAAAAGTTCTCTATTAGAACTTTTCCATTACAAAATTCTATTAGCACGAGGCCAGAAAAATCTCAACTGCTGGACACATGCTTAGTCTGGGACGGCCAGGCAAGCCCCCTCACCACACGATCCCTTGTGACTACCAAAAGTGAACCCAATGGGGGGCTGGAGCAATAGCAAAGCGGGTAGGAAGTTTGCCTTTCACGCGGCCAACCCGGGTTAGATTCCCAGCATCCCATATGGTCCTGAGCACTGCCAGGGGTAATTCCTCAGTGCAGAGCCAGCTGTAACACCTGTGCAGAGCCAGGTGTGACCCCAAAAAAAAAGCAAAAAAAAAAAGTGAAGCCAATGGGACAGAGACAGTATAGCAGGGTGAGGACTTGCCCTGCACACAGCATCCCATATGGTTTCCTGAGCACTGCCAGGGGTGATTCCTGAGCACAGAGCCAGGAGTAAGCCCTGAGCATCACCAGGTGTGACTCAAAGCTAAAAACATAAAAGAGTGACTCCCCCCAGCATTAAGCCAGGAGTCGCCTGCAGTAATACCAATGTGGCCCCCAAACGAAAAAACAAACTAACAAATACCAAGGAGTGGTTGGAAAATTGGAAATAATGGTGATGGGAAGGTGCAAAGGTGTGGGAATTGGTGTTGGAATACTGAATATAACAAAACATCATAAACAACAAAAATAAACGTTTAAAAAAAAATCACTCAGGAGGCTGGAGCAATAGCACAGGAGGTAGGGTGTTTGCCTTGAATGCGGCCAACACAGGTTCAATTCCCAGCATCCCATATGGTCCCCTGAGCACCGCCAGGAGTGACTCCTGAGTGCAAAGTTGGGAGTAACCTCTGTGTATTGCCAGGTGTGACCCAAAAAGCAAAAAAAAAAAAAAAAAAAAATCATTCAGGGTCAGGGTGGAGCATGGGTTCAATTCCCGGCATCCCATATGGTCCCCTGAGCAATGCCAAGGAGTAATTCCTGAGTGCAAAACCAGGAGTAACCCCTGAGCATCACTAGATTTGACCCAAAAGGTAAAAAAAAAAATTAATAAAAATACCATTCAGCATGGAGGCCAGAGTTACAGCACACCAGTAAAATACTTCCTGGCATGCATCTAACTGAGTTCAATTCCCTGCACTATATATGGTCCCTGAGCCTGGCCAGGAGTGATGCCTGAGCAGTCAGAAGTCAGTTCTCAGGGACAGCCCAAAAAAATCTTTACATATGTGTATTTATATAAACGTGTGTATACACACACACACACACACACACACACACACACACACACACACACACACACACACACTTCAGCAGTACTATAGAGCCCAGAAACTAACAAACTCTGACAAATGACATATCTGAAAACAACTACTCTGCAGGTTTTTTCTGAAGTCCCTTAATTTCATATATTCAACAACATTTTTCTTAAAAGAAAACACATTCAAACTCACAAATATTAAAAGAGCAAATTTTCTTAAGTTTAAGAGAGATAATCAGAACACCTCCGTGGAAAAATCTTTTAAGACATAAAGGCAAAAACAAAGAAAAAATGAGAATTCTGAAGGGCTCACTGTTTTACGAGGAGCTGTTTGGGGGGCGACAGCTGACGGTGCTGGAGCCAAGTCGTGCTGGGCATGAAATACGGGTAACTTGAGTCACACACTCACCCCCTGAAGGAACCATTCTTTTTTAATTTTATGGGTTTTGTATTTTGTTTCATGGCCACACCCAGCTGTGTTCAGTGTTACTGCAGGCTCTCTGCTCCAGTTTTGCTCCCAGCAGTGGTGGCTGGAGGGTCATGTGGTGCCAGGGCTGAACAGAGTTCCTTCACGCCATGTATGTGCTGCGCGTTACTGAGTCTTCTGCCAAAACCTTTTTTTTGGGGGGGGGAGGGAGGCCCAATTCAGGGTGCTATGGGTTTACTCCTGGCTTTATGCTCAGTGATCATTCCCTGCAGTGCTTGGGAACCATGTGTATAACCAGGAATGGCCACGTGGTACAAGGCATATCCCTGAACCCCTACACTGTCTCTCTGGTCCCTTGTAAGAAACATTAAAAAAAAAAAACACCCCACTCCCCAATTTCTGATATCCAGCTACTAGCAACCTCTTCTTAGTTTTACACATCCTTTTGGCAAATACTTGAAAGCAGCACTTCTTTATCAGGGGCCACAGGTGAGAACGGGCCATAGCACAAGATATGGTAGGATGGAGGGGGCCCCAGGAAGAAAACATGGTCAGAGTAGGCTGGTCACAGGCAGAAAAAGGTTGAGCAACACTGATCCACAGCAACACATGGATCACATCTGAAATACCCCTCAGGTGGTAAGAAAGAATTGAGAAATACTGTGATGGGTTACTGACTCTGCATACACTGGCAAAGTAAATACACTACACAGAAGAGCATGCCAGGTACTGCCGATACACCGAGGGCCAAAATCGCACAGGTGCAGCACACCACTTACAGTGGGCTTGGAGCATCTCTCTTTTACTTGAAAATGGAGTGGTCACTCCAAATTTGATTTCAAATTAAACTCCAGAGACTGGATGCTCAAACAGAAATCATACAGAGAGGGTCAAAGTGGGCAGGGCCTTGCACACGCCAACTCGGGTTTGATCCCCGGCATCCCATACGGTCCCCCAAGCACCGACAGGAATAATTCTGAGAGCAGAGCCAGGCGTAACCTTGAGTGTTTCTGGGTGTGACCCAAAAACGAAACAAGAATAAAGAAATTATACAAAGATTTTCTTTCCAAGTCATCTCTGTAAAGTCAGGAATATAACTTGTTATGAGAAATCTTATTAGTACTTTATTATTAAAACATAAAGATAAAATTCTTACCTTTATTCTTTCTTCTGACTTTGTTTTGTGGGGAGCAGGTGGTATTTTACCCCCCATGCTTGAAGGAGAGAAGAAAAGATTTGTTTAGAAAACTAGAATTTACTAAGTCACACATTTGTGCTAGAAAAATTATCTTGGGGAGGCGGGGAGGAGAATAAAAAGGTTTATTGGAAGTAGAAGGAAAATAGAAGAAAACTCCCCACTAGAAGTTTCTTATAAGTTACTTATAAGACCAAGTTTGAAAAGTTACATTTTAGATGGCAACCTTTGCAAATCTTTAAGAATAAACTCAATATAAATATTTGATATTAACTGCAATTTAAGAATATTTTTATTTTTAAATTGTTTCTTTCAACCTATTAATGAAAGCCTAATCCTTTCCTTGATTCAATAAATGTAATAAATCTATTCATATGCCATCAGGGCCTGGGGCCTGAGCTAGTACAGTGGTTCAGGACAACTCACATTCAATCTCCAACTCCCCACAGGGCCCCCTGAGCCCCCACCAGACATGATGCCTGAGAACAGAGACCGGAATGAGCCCTGAGCACCACCAGATGCTCCCCAAAACAAACAAAAAAACCCTAGGAGGGTCCATCTACTCCTCCTGATAGTGCTCAGAGAACTGTATGTGGTACTGGGGATCAAATCTGGGTTGGCCATGTGCAAGCCAAGAAAGGACCTTAACTTTACAGTATCTCTCCAGCCCCTTTTAATAGCTACTTTGATAGGTATGCAGTGATATCGCCTTGAGTCCGATCTCCTATAGACTGGCTATTTGAATAATCTTTTGTTGTGTTAGTTTGGGGGCCATAATCTGATTGCTCCTTGCTGTGCTTGGGACCCCAAAAGTCGGGGAAGGCAGGTGGCTGGAGGTTAGTATAGCAAGTAGGGCATTTGCCTTGTATGTGGCTGACCCAAAGTTCAATTCTTCGCATCTCATATGGTCCCCCAAGCCTGCCAGGAGGGATTCTTGAGTACACAGCCAAAAGTAACCCGAGCACAGATGAGTGGCACCACGCGCCCCCCCCCAAAAAAAAAGAGGTGTTGAGGGATAAAACCCAGACCTCCCGTATGCTAAGCATGCACTCAGCAACCACTCTCTCTGGGCCTGAGGCATCTCCTTTATGAAGTTCGGTTCTCATTCTATTACGAAACCAGAATCCAACTTTGGAGGTTTGCTGTTTGAAGGCCAATACTCAGAGATAAGAGCCCAGGAAAGGGAAACAGGTTTATCCAGGTATACTAGCAACCTGAGAAGATGGTAGGCCAAAGTCCAAAAAGCCCATCTTGATGCAGTCTCAAGAAGAGGGGTTTAGAGAGAAAACAGAGAAGCACAATTTTAGGAATGCAGTGGGAAGACGGGGTTGGGGGAGGAGACACAGAATGATCAGTATTTTTGCTTGTGGGCTGTGTAGCTGTAGTTGATAAAGGATAGTTTGAAGGGAAAAGGATTAGATAAGGAAACTGACCTAGTAAGGAAAGTGATGGTCCTGCCAAGAAATGTACCAATCTAACCCTAAAATAAGAGCAGACAAACCCAAATTGAGGGAAATTCCACAAACAACTGGTCAGTAATATTAAAAAACACCCAGGTTGGGGCTGGAGCAGAGCACAGCCGGCAAAGCACACAGCCAACCAGGCTCCCTCCCCAGCATCCCATATGGTGCCCTGAGCACCACCAGGGTAAGTCCTAAGTGCAGGAGTAATCCCTGTTTATCATTGGGTGTGACCCAAAAAAAGAGCCCACCCAGGTAATGAAAGTCAATTACTTCAGAAAAAAGAGTTCCAAGAATACATGCATGCCCTGCATCCAAAAGTGCTGGTTTTTAGCCCCTGAGCTGTCAGGGGCCACCCACCCCTCTCCATCAACCGTCCCCCCTCACACACACACACATAACTGAGAGGAATAGCCCTTAAGCAGCTTTGGGTGTGGCACAAACTCTTCCCCAAAAAAGATATTTAATGATATCACAGTGATATACAACACATAATTCTGAGAATTCAATAGCATTAATATGTTTCATGAGTTTGGTGGTAATTTTTAGACTTTTTATTAGTAGCAAATACATACTCAATAGTGTTACAAGCACAAGCTAGTAAATAGTTCAGGAAAAAGTTTCTCTTCAGATTTTGTAATTTTTCTGAAAGCTAGAAATTTCCAAAAGTTATAAACACTGAGGCCAGAGCGAAAGTACCACGGGTTAGGCACTTGTGCTTTGCAGGAGGCTGACCTGGTTTGATCCCCAGGACCCCATATGGTACTCTGAGCCCCGCCAGGAGTGATCCCTGAGTGCAGAGCCAGGAGTAACGTGAGCATTGGTGGGTGTGGCCCTAAAACCAAATTAAAAAAAAAAAGTGGGGTGAAGCCAAACCTGACAGTGCTCATTTGAAGCCAGGGGTAAAATCCTATCCTTCTGCATACTAAATGGGCACTATCTTCCTGGTATTAAAATAATAAATTAACATTAAGCTAACTTTTTTTGTCTCCAAGGCAGAGCTCAGGGTAGCAACCGCCATTCTTGATGCTACTCTGCCAACTGGGCCGTAAGTTCAGTGCTAAGGTCAGGCAATACTGGGGCCTCCAGAGCAACAGCAGAGGCTCTGGGTGGCCTTGCAAAGCAGGGTACTGAGCACCTGCACTGAGCATGCAAGACACGTGCCCCTGGCCCATCTCCCGAGCCCTAAATAAAATTTTACACTTTAAACCATGGCAGAAATATGGCAAATAAGTAAATGGACTGTTTTCCAACATCTAAATCTGGGTCTCTATGATTAATTTAGTATGGAAAAGAGGAGAAACTGAAATGCTGTCAACCCGAAGACCCCCCCCCCCCCCCATTTCAGCATTACACCCTGGACCCAAGAGCCTCTTCCCATCCACTCCCAGTCAAGTCCTCCTATGGTCACTGTCACTGTCCTCCCGTTGTTCATCGATTAGCTCGAGCGGGCCCAGTAACGTCTCCATTGTGACAATTGTTACTGTGTTTGGCTTATCGAATACGTCCCGGGTGCGTGCCAGGCTTTGCCGTGCAGGCGAGACACTCCCGGTAGCTTGCCAGGCTCTCGGAGAGGGGCAGAGGAATCGAACTCGGGTCAGTCATGTTGGCTGGGTGCAAGGAAGACCTCCTACCGCATGTGCTATCCTCCAAGGCTTAAAGCAAACGGGGTTGGATAGATAGTAACACTGTATCACTGTCATTTGGTTCATTTGATTTGCTCCAGCCTCCCCAGTGACCTCTCCATTCATCCCTGTCACCTGCTAGTGTAGTCTGATGGCATACTGGGGGCTCTTTCGGGGTCACGGGAATGAGGACCATCGTTGTTACTGTTTTTGGCATATCGAGTACGCCACGGGGAGCTTGCCAGGCTCTGCCATGCGGTGGGATACTCTCAGTAGCTTGCCGGGCTCTCCGAGAGGGATGGAGGCTTTTGGGGCAGCCTCTAATCACCTTTACAGGTGTTCCCAAGTCAGGCATATACTCAGGGTAAAGTACTTGCCTTGCACACTGCCAACCCAGGTTCAATCCACAAGCTCTCCCAGAAATGATCTGTAAGTGCAGCGTGCAGGGGGGAGGGGGGGAATGCCTCGACAATAGTACAAATAGTACAGTGGATAGGATATTTGTCTTGCACACTGCTGACTAGGGTTCGATTCCCTGGCATCCGATACAGCCCCAAGCACCACCAGGAGCAATTCCTGAGTGCAGAGCCAGGAGTAAGCCCCGAGTACTGATGGCAGAGGCTCAAATCACAAAAGGTAAAATAAAATCCTAAGTGGAGAGCCAGAGTGTGTCCCTAAAACTGAAATTTTTAAAAAAATTTAAAAGACTGAAAGCTGAGAACGAGAGAAAATGAGAATGAGAACATATGAGAGAATATCAAAGTAGAAGAGGAATCGATCATCAGGATAATGAGCAATGGCCTCAGAGACTACAAAAATGTCGATTTAACTTCGACTGAAATGATAACAAAGAGCTCAATGTTATTTTTCAATTTAAGTTCAGAAGGCAGCCCCACACACCCAAAAGATAGCAAGTTAGAAGGGGCCAAGAAAAATAAATAGACCCCGTCAGGAAAAGCTGGAATTATCGATTAGAAAGTTTATAGGATCTTTCTTTTATTGTGCAAGATACAAGAGGGAAAAAAACAAACATCTTAAGTTATCCAGCTATTCAACAGAGACAATGACTAAAACCTAGACTTTCACTCCTAGACCTGCAATTTATTTTAACAGCATCTTGTGGGTTTTTTGGAAATGTTTTAAAAAAAAAATTCTTAACCACTCTTAGTAGTTAACTATGGCAGCAATTTTGTGTTTCCAGAAGTTTCTTTACATACTTGCATATGTAACTAGAGCAAATCTTACAGAGAACTGGTGACTTTTTTAAAAAAAAAAAAGCCTTATCAGATTTTAGTTGTTGTTGCTTTTTGGGTCACAACAAGAGATGCTCACTGGTTATTCTTGGTGCTGCTCGGGGGACCATATGGGATGCTGGGTAGCAAACCCCAGCAGGACCACGTGCAAACGCGCGCCTCCCCCCCTCCCCGCTGTACTATCACTCCAGCCCGCCTTATCAGTTTTTTTAAAACAAGTTTTTCCCTTAGAACAAATTCAAGACAGAAATATTGTTTCAACTATTCAGTAAGGTTGGGCTCATCTTTCCCAATAAAAGTATTACTAAAATGGGGGAGAGGGGAAGGCGGAAGCACAGTACAGCGGCTCGGATGCTTGCCTCGCTTACGACCGGCCAGGGTTCGAATCCGGTCACCCACACGGTCTCCCGGGCCCCGACTGGCGTCCACTGTGGGCGCAGGGCCAGAAGTCCCGGGCACAGCTGGGTGTGGCCCAAAAACAATAAAATGGGGGCCCTGGACTGAGACAATAGAGGAAGATGTGGGGTTGGAACGCTACATGCAAGAAACCCCAGACTGACGGTATTTACCGGTGCCTGAAGATAAAAGAAACCTAAATGTCCACGAAATCTGGAAACGAGGGGGAGGCGGGAGGGCGGGGGAATGACCAAAACGAAACATCAGTTTGCAATTCTCTCATTAATACGATAGTTTTGCTCCGTCGCTATTTATCAGCATGGGAAAAAAATCAGCATCGCCGTTTTTTTTTTTAAATTCCCCACTAGCATTTAAAAACCGATGGCCGGCTGGGGGGGGGCCGGGAGGGGGGGGGGGAGGAATTTCCAATTCTCCTTTAAGTTCCCATCTAATAAGTAGAACTCATCTCTAGTAGAAGGCAAACCATCCAGACGAATTTATTTATTCATCTGTATTCCTTAAACAGGCCCTACCAAATGAAGACCATTTCCTAGAATCCGTGTCAATTAAGTCCGAGCACGTAGCAGTCTCGGGAATGAAAGAGAGATCGTGAAAAACCTTCCTTTCGCGGTGCCCCGGAAAATCTTTTTTTCCCTTAAAGAGTGTCTGAAGGACGGGGACCGACTGCAGCGGGTTCCCGAAATTAATTCCGCGCGGCCAGAATCCTCGCAAGTGCAAGAGGGGCCAGACACGACCGTCCGCCTGCTCCAAACTCAGTATAAATCTTTTATCGGGATTTTTAAAAGCCCGGGGCGGTGTGTCAGGGCGACCCAAAAAAGGGCATCAGATAGGAAGGGGGAAAAAAAAAAAAACTCAACTCCACGAGTTGTCCCGCGGAGTCTTGCAGCTCTCCGCCCCCCCCCACCCCCCACCAAATCCGCAATGTTCTGCATTTCTGCTTCGCCCAGGCACGCGCCCGGCGACCTCGGGGTTGCAGGGAGCCCCGCTCCGCCGCCTCCGGGGGTGGCTCCCGCGGCCCGCTGCCCCCCTGCAAAGTGCTCCGTCCTGCAAAATCCTGGGCCCGGGGAGCGAGCCACAAAGGCGCGGCGGCCGCGCGGGCCCCGCGGCGCCGCGCCCAGCGCCCCCTCCGGCCGCCCGGCCGGCCGCCCCCCCACCCCCAGCCCACGCCTCCAACGGTCCGCGGGGCCCGGGTCTCACCTCTCCACCCACTCCCTCAGGAAGCTCATTTCCTCGGCGTGCAGGATGCTCGGGTCCTGCTTACACATCCTCACGAAAGCCCGAAGCTCGTTCACTTTGCGGGGGTCCATGGTGCGCAGGCGGCGGCGGCGGCGGCGGCGGCCCCGGTTCCAGGCCCGGGCGCGGAGCTCGGCGTGACCGTGCGAGGGGGGCGGCTGCCGCGAGGCCGAACAGACTGGAACCTCCCCGGCCGCCGGCTCCGCCCACCCAACGGTCTCGTGACCCCGGGGCCTCCGCTCCGCGCCACCCGCGCCGCTCCCTCCGCTCCTGCGCACTCGGAGAACCTTCCAGAAGCGCGGCTGTTCGTCCCGCTGCCTGCCTGCCCGCCCGCCTCCCTCCCCGCGCCGGTGCAGCCCGCCTTCCCCGAACAGACGCGCTTAGGGCTAGAATATTCTCTCCTGACCCTGATGGGACCCTCGCAGGGGCGGGTGGATCGACCCCCCTCCCGGGAGACACGCCCCCGACACTTGGGACCCGGACAGGCGGCCCGTGCGCCTTAGGGAGCGCGGGACGCCATGATGCCAAAAGGCGCGTCAGGTTACACTCCCCCCCCCGCCCCCCCCACACACACGCGCGCGCGCGCGGCGGGCGCGGCCGGGCCGTGACGTCATCTCCCCGCGCCGCGCGCGAGGAAGGCCTGGCGCGCGGGCCGACCGGAAGGGGCGGGGCGGAGGCCGCGTTTCCTGGCGACGCCGGCTCGCGGGCCCACCCCCCCGCCCCAGCCCGCCCTCGCACGTTGTCTTCCTCCTTCCCATCCGGACGTGCGAGCGAACCCGGCATGCCTTGGTTGCTCTCAGCATCTAAACTGGTTCCCGCCAAAGCAGGTGCCCGCGGCCTCTCAGGTTAGACTCATCTCCCACGGGCCTTTTCCCCCCCCCCGTGAGAAGCCTGGGGCGCCCCGGCGGGGTTGGGGGGAGAACCACGTTGGTGCCAGGCGTTGTCCGGACCGTGGTGCCCACGGGGCCTTCGCGCCGTCCCCGGGGCGCCCCGCGCATCTCTGCACCTGCTGCACCTGGCGAAGGGTGGGCCGTGAGTTTCCTCCCCCCTGGAGGTGGTCTCGGATTGGCTGCGGAGAGGAAAGTGTGCCCTCCCCTCCCCTCCCCCCCATCCCAGAGCGGGTGTCACCAGGCTTCCCCGGACACAGACGCCGAAAATGTGTTGCCACGTTTGTTGCAATAACAAGAGTGTCACACACACAGGGAGCTCTTGCCACTGCTACTTTCCCCGGAAACCCCATTTTTGTGTGTTCAAAGTCACTTGGAGGCCGGCTTCAGAATAGACCGGTGGCTTTTTATTTGTTGAGTGGCTTTTATTTGAAGGAGTCGGGAAGGAGGGGACCCTCCCCACCCCCACCAAACAGTGCTCACGAGGCCCCTCGCAGCGATGCGGTGCTTGGGGAACACGACCACGACCACATCCCAGTGACTGATCTCCCAGGACCGCCTGAAAGCTCTTTGTGTAGGGGGAGACTGGAAATAAGTGGGATCATTTATTTTATTTTTTTTTTATTTTAAGTCGTCCTGTTTCGCGAGCATTTAACACGCTAAACACGAAGCATAAAGCTTAGTGAAAACTAAACTGTACGTAGCAAGTGGATAAAGCCATAGCACCACGTTGAGGCGTTGGGGGCTGGTAGGTTAAACCGTGTATGATCAAATTTGGTTTTGAGTTCAAAGCTACAGTGACCAAAGTGTGTGTACTTGGAGTTATTGAAAAAAATGCGATGGTAATTATGTCCAACTTACTCTCTGCTCTGAAAAATAAATGATTGTCCTGAAGAACTTACCCTTCAGTTTTAACACTTAAGCTGCAAACACTCGCTTCTTTCCCCCCTCTGACTCGTCAGGGAGGTAGTTCAAAGGACATAAACTCGTGGGCACTGCATGTTCCCCTGAGCACTGCCAGATATGACCCAACACTCCCCCCCCCCCCCCAAAAAAAAGCCCTTTGTAATTGTAACTCATCTTTTTTTCCTTACATTGTAGCCCTAGCTAAAGGCAGTATTTCAATTTTGCATGGAGGGCAAAGTTAAAACAACCGATTTAAAACAACCTCTGAGCAGAGCTGGAAGTTGCTTGGGGGCAACTTCCAGCTCTGCTCAGAGGTTGCTCCTGGAGGTGTTCAAAGGATCTTGCCATACCAGGGGTTGAACCCAGGCCTCTTGCATGCAAAGCATCTACTCAGGCTGTTGGACAACCTTTGGTCCCCAAAAGACAGTATTTTTAGAGTTACATGTTTGTAGTACCAGTATGTATCCTTAAAAAGAAAGTTTTTGGGCTGGAGCAATGGTACAGCAGGTAGGGCATTTGCCTTGCATGTGGCCAACCCAGGTTCAATCCCCTGCATCTCAAATCGTCCCCCAAACCCACCAGGAGTAACCCCTGAACATGTCAGCTGTGACACAAAAGCAAAAAAAAAGAAAAAAGAAATAGTTCTATATCTGAAGTTGATTGTCTTGCCTACCTAGGTCCCATGACAACTTTCTGTGAGGAATCTAGCTTAGTTTTCTAATTATAGCAAAATACATGTAACAATGAACCTTGCAATCTTTATCATTTTAAAGTATGCCTGATATGAGGGGCTACCCCAGGCAGTGCTCTAGGTGGGCTGAGGGGGATTGATGAGACCATCTCAAACTGTCCCATCGAGAACTTTTTTACCTCCCCAGTAACCATACACCTATTAAATATTTTTATGGATTTGACCTCATTTATATGGGGTTGGGCCATGTGCATCAGTGCCCAGGGGCTATTTCTGATTCTGTACTCCTAGCAGTGACCCCTTGCAGTGTTCAGAGGACCACATGTAATGCTGGGCATCAAACAGTGGTCAGCACACACTAAGCAGGTACCTTACCTCTTTTACTATCTCTCCAGCTTGAATTTGACTCCTTTAGATAGCTCATAAGTGGAATCAAAAAGTATTCGCCTTTAAGTGATAGACTTCACTTAACCTAATATATCAGGATTCGTCTAAAGGTATGTAACAGGGAGGCAAGAGAGAACATACAGCAGCCCTGGTGCTTGAAGGCTCGGCACCCCATATGGTCCCTGGGTCCTGCCAGGAGTAGTGTTGGAGTGCTGAGCACTGCCAGATGTGTCCCCAAAACCAAAAATAATAGTGTAGCAGGTATTTCTTTTTAAGTCTGAGTGATCTACTATTTATACACATACATACACACACACACACACACACACACACCCCTCTTGATTACTCACTTCACAAAACTAACATTTGGGTTGGTTCCATCTCTTGACTAAGTGTAGCTGTGAACAGGTGTACCAATATACCTGGCTTTGTTTAAAAGCTAATACTTTATACTTAAATATTTGTATTTACACTATCTTCGGTTATTATCAAATGTTCTGTGTCAGTTGGAAAATGAATAATTATTTGGTCTGAACCTGTATATCTTCTTTGGGGTGGTGAGTCCACAAGTGGTGCTCAAAAGACCTTGTGGCCACGCTCGCCAATTCTTCAAATGGCCCTGACGGCCCAACACACATATCAGAGCACTGCTGCTTGTGCCCTGCAGTGCTGGGGACCCCAAGGGCCATCCCAGAGAGAGCTGGATTCACAAGGCTTCACCCAGTGATGCCTTGTAGGACTAGGGACAAAATAGGTTCTTATAAATGCCCCCTCACCCCTCCTCCACGCGTGCCTCGAGCTGTGTGTCTTACTACATTTTTATTTGCTAAGCTATACTTATTTAAGAAATTTGTATAGTTTAGTGAAATAGAAATTTAACTCTAGTACTAAAGAAAAACTAATACGCAGACTTTAGCTCAAAATCAAAAAACAATTTCTGCTGTCTTCCAAATTATTAACGTGACTGTCGCTACAAACTTATTTTTTTTAACATAGCTCATTCATCACTGACCACTGCCCATAAGCCTGCTAAAATTAGAAACAGTCTTATTGTCGTATCACACAATCATCTACAAAATTCAGTGATTAACCAAGACACAAGAAGAATTGTGTTCAAATGTTATATGAACATAAGGAGTCTGAAGCGTCGAACTACCGATTCCTTTTCGTTGGCTGCTTCTTCGCCTCTTTATGCTTCTTTTTTTTCCTCCTACTTCCTTCTTTGAACCCCACCGAGAAGAGCGAGGGATCCCAGTGGCTGGAGACCCACGGTATATCTTGTTCATCATCGTCCACAAAAGTGCATTGCGGGACGTGCTTGGCGCAGGCCACAGCCGAGTGCCTGCACGCTCTCCCGCAGATGCATTCTGAGAAGCACTCCTCGTCTTCTGCACCGTTTATATAGAAGGACTGGAGCTCGCTGTCATCTTCAGCTGCTTCTATTTCTGGTTCAGAATCGAAATTTCTCTTTGTATTGACATATTTGCCATCAACAATTAGATGGGCGGTTTCAACTTTAGGTAAAGAAATGTAGTGACCTATCCCAGTATCGTCAAACGGTGGGGAAGAGACTGAATGAAGGTGCTCGTGGCCCGGCGACCCAAATGGTGTCGGTCCCAGGTCACATGACAGTCTGCTAAAAACTGGACACTCGTAGGCGTTAGAGAGAAAGTTTCTCGGGCCTCTGCATCGGCATCCGCAAGAGCTGCTCGGACTGTTAAAGAGGTCCTCGAGTGAGCTTTCAAAGAAATGAAAGGAAAATGGATCCTTTTCCCCAAAGAATTCTTTGAAGACATCATCTGGCGTACGGAACACGAAGCTATACTCAAAAGAGTCACCAGGATGACTTCCACCTCCGCCATTTAACCCTTCTTTGCCATATTTATCATAAATGTCACGCTTTTCGTCATTCGACAGTACCTCATATGCCTCCGCTACTTCTTTGAATTTTTTCTCCGCTTCTTCTTTGTTTTCCGGATTTTTATCAGGGTGCCATTTAAGTGCCACTTTGTGATAAGCCTTTTTAATTTCCCCAGCTGACGCGTATCTCTGCACTCCTAGAATGTCATAGTAACTCAACATGATTTCACAGACTGTTGGAAAGAATGGGCTGAGTAAGAGAACCTAGATTCTGTTCAGCTCAGCCTGTGCTGCTGGTGGTAGTCGAGACTGAATACGGCTAGACATATTCTCACATTAAAGGCCTTAACTATCTCACCGTGGACCTACCTCTGCTAGGAGAGATTCGGACTCTGGCTGGGTGCCGTGCAGAGTTAGCAGCTTATGTCAGAGAGGGCTGCATTATGCTGTCACTCTGGGCTTGAGGTAAGGACTAGATTTTCCAAGTGAAGCTAACCTGGAGTCATACTAACCTAACCTGCTCGAGGTGTTTTCCTAGCGGCCCCCAACAATGCCTGATGAATTCGTAGGACCTACCGTTGATGCCCCAGAACAGAGCAACCCTGCTTAAGAAAACTCCAAGAAATACATATATATATATACACATTTTCAGATTATATTTAAAAAAAAGCTCACATCACCCAAATTTTAACATGTTAGTGATCTATAGAATGTCTTAATGGCTCTTGCCAAAATAAAACAATCCTCACACTGTTTCCTATATGAACACTTCTGTAAGCCTGTTCAGCAGTTCTTTATAACAGACATTATGAAATAATATTATTTCGATTGTGTTTTGGGACAGGGGTTGGGGCTTAGGATGGAAACATCCTGAATTTGGTGGTGGGAACGTGTGATGATGGTGGGATTGGTGTTTGAATATTGAATGTAATCAAACATTGTGAACTAAAAAAATTTTTAAAAAAAGTAATGTGGAGTTCATGCCCAATTCAATCAGCTTAATCAATGGCTGAATAAATAGCAGTGCTCCTACATTATAAGAATAAAAAATCAGGAAAAAAAAAAAAAGAAAACCCTGAGATCATCGAGCCTTACTTATTTCTCTGTTCTTCCATGTTTGGGGCTGGGAAAATGAATTGGGAACGGTGGGAGAAAAAGTAAGCAGTTTGCAGTTATTTACAAGTTTCAGTTGACAGCGCTGCAAGAGATATGTAGTAACAGTAGGATGGGGTGCTGACAGGGTTACATAAACACAGGGTTAAGCAGTTCTAAGTGACGCCTTACCACTAGACCCGGCATTTTAGGGAAGACTTGCTGAAGGAAATAGCCTGAAAAACTTTCTACTGATCTTTGCTCATTTAAAGTTTACCACTGTGGGGCTGGAGCAATAGCACAGTGGGTAGGGCATTTGCCTTGCATGCGGCCAACCCGGGTTCGATTCCCAGTATCCCATATGGTCCCCTGAGCATTGCCAGGGGTAATTCCTGAGCGTAGAGCCAGGAGCAACCCCTGTGGATTGCCGAGTGTGACCCAAAAAGCAAAAATAAATAAATAAATTTTACCACTGTAAGATATAAGGATTTTGAAAACTGGTTACTTACGTCTTGAATATGTAATAATAAATACCTACTTTATTGAAAGCAGTTTTAGCCACTTGGAGAATGCACTAATAAAAATTACCTCTTCTCATAGTTTTGAAATGTTGGTATAAATGATAAAATAAGGGCTGAAGCAATATTGTGGTTTGTCTTGCATGCCACCAACCCAGGTTTGATACCTGGCATCCCAAGCACCTCCAGGAGTAATTCCTGAGCACAAAACTAGGAGTAACCTCTGCGTATCGCCAGGGTGGCCCAGAAACCAAAAATATAGTAATTTAAGATGATGTGTTAAAAAGTAAGGGTGGAAAAAGCATAGTTTGTTTTTAGTTTGTTTCTGGCACAGAGTTTTGTGGGGCCTGGGATTGAGCTAGGGCCTCACTTGTGGCTTGCAAATTGTGCTTCAACTTTCTCAGCCGTCTCCCTGGCCTGTTAGATTGGTTTTAGTTTGGCTTTGGGGATTCATACATGATAGACCGCACGCAGGTGTGGAGGTCAGCCTCCTGCATGCAAAATGTGCCCAGCCCATTGAGCTTTCTCTCTGGCCCCAGAACTAGGAGCGAGATAAACCTGGATTCAATCCCAGTTTCTCCAAAGCTAATTGCTTCCCCTTTGTTCTGCCAAGTTTGCTTTTATGTGTTATCTTCCTTCTGTTAACACCTTCTAATCACCCTGTATCTATGTACAAACCTCTATTATGCTTTAGTGATTGTAAAGATTTTTTTTCAATTATTCTTATCCAACACAGGCCCTAGCTGACACAAAGTCCTCAATACTGAAGGATAAAATAATGTTCTTTGCTCTAAAGCAGGAAAGGTAGATAACCCACCTGCAGAAGATAAATGTATATATCCTGGGAACTGTTTCTATCTTCTGACCCATGTTGGTCTTACTTTCCCCTCAGGATGCTGGTCCTGTTTCCAGCGAAGATACTCCCTCCAGCCCATCCCAGAGAGGAGAATCCCAAACCGCTACTTAGGCCAGCCCAGCCCTTTCACACACCCGCATCTCCTCAGACCAGGTAAGGACTTCAACTATAACAATGATTTTGCTGGTTGGTTGATTTGGTGCTTAAGAGTTCTTAAGCACCTAGTGCATTGCTCAGGGGCTCCTGGGGCTCCTGCATCCAAGGCAGAAGCTTCATCCTCAACCCCAATAACTGTTCTTCTTGAGATGCTTTGTCTAGGACAGTATTGTCCAATAAAATTTGTTCCAGTGATAGAAATATTCTAGACCTGTGTTTTACAGCTGTATCCACAAATGGCTGTTGTATACTTAAAATGTTATTGCTAGTGCAACTGAGGAACTGGATTTTTAATTAGTTTAAATTTAGACTTGAATCTCTGCATGAGATTGCTAATACTATATTGACAATACCAGTCTATAATATTAACTATGGTAAGGCTTACAGATGCCAGAATGATAGTACAGTGGGTAGGACATTTGCCTTGCTCTTGGCCTACCCAGGTTTGATCCTGGGCATTCCGTATAGTCTCATAGCACCTTGAGAAATAATTCCTGACTGCAGAGCCAGGAGTAACCCCTAAGCACAGCCAAGTATGGCCTAAAAAAACTGAAAAATAATGGTCTTTCATTCACATAATTCCAACACCACACCCATTACCAGGTACCCACTTCTCTCCCCCAAAGACCTTTCAACCCCACCAACATAACTCAATTTTTTTTAATCAGTTCTGCCATTGTGTTGATTTTGGCCCTTCTTTGCTACCTTGCTTTAAGTCCTGCATATGAATGAGATCATTGTGTATCTTACCACCTTTCCTTCTAATTGATTTTATTTAGCATGATATCCTCTAGTTCCATCCATGTTGCTGAAAATTGCATGGTTTTGTGTTTTCCTCATTTCAGCATTTTAAAAGAAAGTTCTAGGGAGGTGGAGGGAAAGCTCTGTGGGGTGAGTGCACACATGGATTTGATCCCCAGCACTTCACAATTTCTGAAGAGCTGTGAGGAGTAGCCTCTGAGCCAAGTTAAGTATGGCAGAAAAGAAAAAAATGAAAGTTCCGGGGCCAGAATGCTAGCACAGAGGGTAGGGCATTTGTCTTGCAGGTGACCAGCCAGGTTTGATTCCCAGCATCCCATTCGGTCTCCTGAGCACCAACAGGAGTAATTTCTGAGCATCACCTGGTGTGACTTTCCCCTCCCCCAAAAAGAAAAAAATTTTAAAGTTCTGTTACTCTCTAAGATATATTGATAACTCTAAGATAACTATTGATTTCTTGTGAATTGCTGTATTTAGAGTCTTTTTTTTCCCCCCTTAACTTTAGAATGGAGGAAAAAACTCATTGTTTGGGCGTTGCTCCTGGTGGTACTTGAGTGCCAGGGATCGAACCTCGGGCTCTTTGGCACAGCATGCTCTGCACCCCATTGTGCTGTCTCCTGCACTCTCCTAGGTCCTGAAAATGTTTTGGTGGCTGTTTGTCTGTTGGTGGGGATTGAGCTCACACCCAGGATGCTTGTGTGCTGCGCCCTGCTCTGAAGTAGAGAATTGCTCCCTGCAGCGCACAGGGGATCAAACCAGGATTGATGGCATGCAAGACAAGCATCTTTTTGTTGGTTTTGCTTTTGGTTTTTGGACCACACCCACAATGCTCAGGGTTTATTCCTGGCTCTTCACTTAGAAGTTACTCTTGCTGAACCTGGATCCGCCACATGCAGGGCAAGCTCCCTGCCCACTGTACTATAGTGTCAGGGTTTAGGCACTTGTGTTGGGGCCTTAACCCTTACACTATCTTTCCTTTCCAATTTGTGTTGGGGAGAGCCCCAACACAAGTGCCCTAACCCTTACACCATCTTTCCTGTCCTCCCAAAATACTTTTTCTTTAATGTTAAACACTTACCCCAAAATGTAAACAACTATTTCTGTATAGATTATGTAAGATTTCCAGATCTAAATAACTTTAAGAAGCATCCAGATCCACAGCTTTAAGAGGTGATGACAGTGATAAAGGTGATGCAAAGAACTGACAAAGGTTTATTTTCACTAATTTTTTTTTTCCAGAACGGGGATCAAACCCAGTTTCTGTGTGCATACAAGGCACTTTACCACTGAGCCTCATCCTGGGCCCTGTCCTCACAGGTGTTCCTTCTCAGTAAGTTACCAGTGTTGATGCTAGGAAATGTGGTGTCACATTACTGTTGCTCAAATGCAGTCCTAAAGATTTTTGTTTCATTTAAGAAGATAGTTAAGGGGCTGGAGCGATGGTACATCGGTTAGGGAGTTTGCCTAGCAAGCAGCAAACCCGGGTTCAATTCCCAGCATCCCATAGGGTCCCCCAAGCACCACCAGGAGTAATTCCTGAGTGCAGAGCCAGGAGTAACTCCCTGAGCATCACTGGGTATGCAAAAAAAAAAAAAAAGAATAAGAGAGTTAAGTGATGAACCATGTGAAAGAACTATCATCCCAAAGAAGTAGATAGGGTAAAATCAGATGTTTTTAGGAAGAGCAGTTTTTGGTGGTTTTTTTTTGTTTTGTTTTGTTTTTTTTAATATTTGTTTGTTTTGTTTTGTTTTGTTTTTTGGCGATGCACAGGAGTTACTCCTGGCTCATACACTCAGGAATTACTCCTAGCGGTGCTCAGGGGACCATATGGGATGCTGGGAATCGAACCCGGGTCGGCCACGTGCAAGGCAAATGCCCCACCCACTGTGCTATCACTCCAGCCCCAAGCAGTCAGATTTTTAAAGGAAATAAATCGTTGCTTCTTTCACGGGAAGTTAAAGCTATATTGACAATATAAGCGTATTTTTTAATAGTCTAAGTTTTCTTTAGAAATGTGTTGCTCTTTTACTCCCTCCACTCAGTGTGTCTGAGTGAGGGCTTCCTTTTGCTGATTCTTCATCAGACTGGAATTCCTGCTGGGAGGGCAGCTGAGACTCAGGAAATGCAACTCACCACTGAAATACACAAGAAATCAGAGTTTTTCAAAGCTGTAAGGTAAGCTTAATAGCAATTCAGTTAGTATTCATTTAAGTATTTCTCTGCTGTATCAGTCTACTTCCAACTTTAATTTTTAATATAGAATTAATATTAAGTTTTACCAGCTTTGAAATTTTTTGATTTCTTGTGGTGAGACATTTTTTACATGGCATTTTCCAGGCCTTGAAGCTACAATCTGTCCAAGAATGGGTGATACACAATCTTCCCTCCCCCACTCTCAGGCTGCTGGAGTGACCCATGGCAGGGCTGTAGCAATCTCAGGTGCAGTTGGGGTGCTTTCTGTTTGCTTAAGGAGAATGCTTTATGGCAAAACTCATGTCTTGCATGCATGAAACCTGGATTTGATCCCTGGCACTGCAGAACAAAACAAAGCAACCAGGCAAAGGTAGATTTGGGTGTGTGGGACTGAGACACTGAATAAATCTTTTCAGAGAAGGGCATGGTAGACCAAAAAGTTTGGAAACCTTGACTCATAGTCATTGTCAAGGTCATGATTGCTGCATCTGGACTGTTTGCTACTTGTTACTTGCTTATTAACCACATTGAGTAAGGTATGTGAATATATTTACACGTAGATTTTTGTGTATATGTGGAACACAAACATTTATATGTATATATGTATATGTACATATATATGTATGTGTGTCTGTATAATATATATGCCTGCTTGCCCTCACTTTTACTCCCATGAAGATAGACTTTTGAACATTGGGGTAAATGAGAAGGAATAAAACACAGATGAGATTCCAAAATAAAATCATGACTGTGGCACTGATCAGTGGACTGTGTAATACAGGGCCAAGCTGGGGCCGGCCACACATAAAGCAAGCTCCTCAACCCTGTACCAGATGGACAAGCCTGAGAGAGGGTTCAGAGCACTTGTCCTGTGCGTTGGTACTGGTTGGATTCCTGGTACTTTTGTTGTTGTTGTTGTTGTTGTTGCTATTTTGTTTTGGAGCCACACCCAGCTGTGCTTGAGGCCTACTCCTGGCTCACTCTAGCCTCCCAATTTCTTAAATATCTGTTCTTTTAGAGAATAAGGTTATCATTTATCACTTGTTCCGAAAGGTTTCAGTTTTATTGTATTTTCCCAATATTTGCTACTAATCAAGACTTGTGAAAAATAACCCATTTCTTTTCTAAAAATTACAGAAATTAAAAGTAGCGTATACATGATTTTTTTTCCACTCACGATTCCACCACTCAGGAAAAAAAAATAGTTATATGTGTATTCGTGTTTATCCCAGAGCTGTTTACAGTAGTTAAGAGGTGGAAACATATTTTAGAGAGACACAGAGAGAGCGAGAGAGAGAAGCCTGAGAGTATAGTGGATAAGGCACTTGTCTTGCATGTGGGGGATCCGGGTTTGATCCCCAGTGCCCCGTATGGCCCCCCCAAGCCCTATCAGGAGTAAATCCTAAGCACCACTGGATGTGCCCCACCCCCCCCAAAAAAGGAAGAAAGAAACTGGGTGCAAAGGACAGCTCATGGTAGAGGAATCTTAATAATTTTATAAAATGACTTCAGTACTATTGGAAACTATCACATTTCGATTTACAAATGAGAAACATTGTATTATATATACTTCTGAGTTGTTTGGTTTTGTTTTCCTTTGAGTTCACACCCGATGGTGCTTGAGGGCTGCAGGGATTGTGCCGGCAGTGCCAGTGATCAAACCCAGGTAGTCCGAGGGCCCAGCATGCGCTCGGTCCTCAAAGCCGTCTCTCCACCCCAGCCTTACTATATAACGGAGGGGTCTATTGGTATGCCCAGGTATGCGGTCTTTGCATTCTATGCAGCGCTTAAGGACTTCTCCTAGCTCTGTATTTGGGAAACCATATGCCATGCCACGGGTCAGGCTGAGTGTGACTGTGTGCGGGCTAAGCACCTTTTTACCCCTATACTATCTCTCCAGTCCCTCTCAGATATTTTTGGGGGAGCCATACCTGCTGGTGCTCAAGTCTTACTTCTGGTTCTCTCCAGTCAAGGCTTGGGTACCATACATGGTGCAGGGGATGGAATCTGGGTTGACTGCAAGGCAGCACTCTACCTGCTGTACT